GGGGCGGCCGCCGTCCCGCCGCTCCCGGGCTGGGTGAGCCGCCCCGAGCCGTGCTCGCTCCCGGCGCCCCGGCAGGGCGCTCCGCTGGCTCAGGGCAGGGCGGGCGGCGGGAGATACGCAAAGCTGCGCCGGCGGCGTCTCCGTTACTCCCGGGGGCGGGCGGGAGGGCGCCCCGTCCCGGTCGAGTGACAGCGCGGGCCGGCTGCTGAGGGGGGCACGGGCGTTTGTCTGCGGCTGTTCCTGCCGAGCGCCACCGGTGCCGGCTCCGGGAAGAGTCRCGGAGCCCCGGGCCGCGCTCTTCGCGCCGGCGGGGCACGGGGAGAGCCGCGGAGGCTTTTGCCAGGGGACAGGAGAGGAAGGTAGGGAAGGCTTTTAGGCGTGCTCAGGGCGAGAGTTGAGGTGGCAGCCGTGGGACATGGAGCAGGGCAGGACGCGCTGGGTGTGTGGCAGGGACAGAGCCAGCAGCCCCGGCGGCGGCGGGGTCGAGCGGGGCCCTGCGGCTCCGGCTGCGGGGCGCTCCTGGGGCTGTGGATGTGCTCCAGGCTGTAGGGTCAGAGCCCCAGCGCTCCCAGCCTGGCACSAAGGCAGAGCCCTCAGCGCCCCAAACCCGTCCGCAGCCGAGCTCTGTTTCCCAGGAATGCGAGGCGTCCCGGTAAAAGGTGCCGTTACAGCCCTCGCGGCTCTGAAGGGGTGCCCGAACCCAGGAAGAGAGTGTAGTGTAGCGGTCTCCTGGAAAAGCTGCCTTGCTCTAATTAAAGGGGAAGATATAAAACCCACTTGGCCAGAAATGTGAATAAATAAATTATGTGTATTTGGAGTCTCAGTAMGGGGGAAGAAAGATTAAAACTTCTGATAACACATGTTTGTGAGTTGGCTCTATTTTTTCCCCCCTGGAGTTTAAAGCTCTAGAGCCAGAATTCTACCGAAGACGTATGTATGCAAAGGATACTGTGCCATTACGTTTATGGAAGTACTGGGAAATTCTGCCATGGAATCCAGTTATTCTTTCYATTGTGTCTTTTAAACAGAGTACTTTTAAAAAGCTTAAACTTTTGTCAAAACAATCTGAGAATTTTTTTTTTAATAGACAAGTCCAGAAAAATTGTAATAACTTTTTTTTCTGGGAAAAAATGCTAAAAATAATTTATTTAGTCATGAGTGTTAAGTGTTAAAGCTCTCATCTGGGAAATAGATCCTGTGACCATAAGAGCTGCTCATCTGGAAAATAGATTTTGTTACTGTTTTAGCACAGAGGACTTTCCATTCTTAATGATTTCTGGTGTGCTTCAGCATGGAAGAACAATATTAATTGAATTATGTAATTTGTCTAGTTTGTCTCCTAAAATATTTGTCTATCCATTTATATATCATTAATATTTATAATTATTCTTGAATATTTTTGTGTCTCTCCAAATATTTCCCTATATTATATTAGGAAACAGAAGGGAGATTCTTGTGTATCTTATACACTATTTTTCCCTCAGATCACATTGTTTTTTACAGGGAGATGCTTCTGTTGTGTGGTTTGTGTTTCTGTCAGAAATATTCAAGTATTGAATATTTCTTGTCTTGAAAATTACATAGTTTCTGTGTSTGGTGAAAATTACACAGTTTCTTTGTATGGTGAACTGTAAGTAAGGTTGTATTTTGCTGTCTTAAGGTTAATTATTATTATGGTACTGTTTTTACTTTTGTTGTTTAAGGAGTTTGGTTTGGGTTTTTGTTTGGTGGTGGTGTGTTGGGATATTTTTTCTTGCTATTCATGCTGTCATGTAAGTCTCTGTGCAACATCCCAGTATTTTTGTATCATACAGTTTGCACAGCTTCCAAATTTTTTGGTTAGATATGCTTCAGCCTTTTCATTTAGGATCTAAAATCTGCAGTATACAGACAACATTTACATGTGTTTCTGTGTGTTGGGAATTGAGTGTTCTGTCCCGTTTTGCTGGGCTCAGGCCAGGGATGTTGAGGTCAACTGAAGCGTTTGTGTAAATGTTTTACTAACTTGTTGAACTCAGTTAACTTTCAACTTCTTGAAATTCATCCTGTGTAGTTATATGAGCATGTTTCACTGCTTGTATTGAGCAATGATAAACTCAAATTTGAATAAAACAACTCAGTTGATATTTGATGTGCCTTCATGAGCTTATAATTTGCCTGATACATAGTCCACTCTTATTAGCTCTCAGCAAAGGAGAAGTGCAGGCGCAGTCTCTCTTGCCGTGGTGCTCCGAAGGTGGTTTTCATCAGGAATCCTGGAGTGGAATAGCTGTTGCTTCCATCCTGCTTCAGGTATGTGCCTAACATGTTCATGATCAATGCTCATTATTACTGCTCCATTTTAAAGACAGTAACTGAGCCTATTGATGGGATCTTTACCTTACTTTATGTATGCTTTATCTTGCTGAGCTGCTTGATTGCATTAATGAGCTTGTGCTCACGTTACAATTACCCTGTTTTCTCCTTTCTGTTGTTAATTTTYTCCACCTTGTTGTATTCTGATACCAGCTAGGGCTTTTAAGTTGTTTGAGAGGAACTGTTTTGAAAAACAGTTGAGAAATCTTTCCTTCTTAGTAACTTATCTCTTGTCTATCTCTGCCCTAAACTTTTTCTTCTATACTTTCTTTTGTTTCTGTCTTTCCAAATTTATTTTCCTTTGCTGTTTCTGTTGTGCTCTACTGATTTCTATTGATTGTCTGTGATTTCTTCTATTTTCATGCTTCTTATGGGCATTGTTCTGCTAGTGTGCTTGATTAAATGGACTTCATCAGTCATTGAAGAGGCTCAGTGTGATTTTTTTCATTCTTAATGAGGGAGAAAGAAAATAAAATCCCAAGGTGATTGGTTTTGAGTTTGTGGTTTTGTTGGGCTTTTATTTGACCTTAGAAGTATAAAAGTGGAAAGGAAAAAATTTATGGGAAATGTAGAAAACAGAAAGTGTGAAATGGTGATGGAAGTCTGAGAAGGGATAGAAAAGCTTTGTGAGGGAATTTCATGGGAGCTTAAGGTTCTGGTAGATGTGGCAAGAAAAGTTATGAGTTAATGATGGCAGTTGCTCAGATATTTTCGGATCATCAGAGATTCTGAGGCTTACATAAGTGTCACATGTGCTGTTTGTAATAGGACTCTGGAGTTTGTTCTTAAGGCAGGTGCTTGGGTTGTATTTGTGATAGTTCATTAAACAAAATCCTTATTGCATGAGAATAAGAACACCTCTTCAGAGCTGCCGGGAGGAGGCTCTCACTCTAGCTTATGTTCTGTTAAAGCTGTGCAATTTCTTGGGTTTTCAGTAGCCCTCCCTGCTGTGATGAAGCGAACCTGGTAATGTCAGCTGCGTCTTAGTCCAAAGCTATGAAACGGCCAAACTGCTTGGCACTTCTCATCAAGCCTCTTCGGGAGAGAACTTTGTAACAGAGCTAAGTATCTAGTATCCTCTCCACATAAAATGTGGAGGCTTTAGAAATTACTGCAGTTGGCACTGATTTGCCACAGCGACTGGCYGTGGCTGTTGTCTGCTTGTGGAATTGTCAGTTCTTTCCAGAGTTTGCTTCTCAGGCAGAGAGGATCAGGAGTCTGTGCTTCTGCCCGCATCTCTCTGCCTTTGTTTGAAAAAGGAGGATAAAAATAAAGGTCACAGCAGACAGGTGAGGTYACCCATCTGCAGTGGACTGTGCACTTTGCTGGCCCTAGACATAGCTGAATGCTGGAGTGACGTCTGAGGAATATGACGGGTTTTGCTGAAAATGGGTAAAAGTTAATCTCACTTAGCTGAAATGGGGACAAAGGTGAAGGATGCAAATAATAAACRCCTTACAAGGGCTGAATCTGGGATAAAAGGTAGCGGAGTGTAGGTGAGGTCTTAGGGCGTGGGAGAAAGGTGTGTGGAAATAGAGGCTATAGCAGGCTCACATAAAAAGGAAATGAGAGGGTTTAGGAATGAATAAATGTAGGATAGAGAGAGCAAGTAAAGATTTCAAGAGAATGAACATGGGGCTGAGCAGATTGCTAAAAGACAGTCAAATATAAGAGCAAGCAGTGGGTGAGGGTCTTGGGCAGYGCAGATGAACAGCCATATAAAGTAGAATATTCAGTGCTGTGGGTGGATGGATGTGTTGCCAAGTGTCTGGAAAGTGATAAGGAGCTGTTTGCACCTTCTGTTTGCTGAGTTCTCTGTGTGTAGGTTGGTGCAGGCGATACTGCATATGGTGGGACATCTGGCCACATGCTCTTTTCTCCTGTTAAAGATGCCTATATATTCTCCTGTTCACCTGGGCACCCCGTAATTTCTGTGCTCATGTCTTTTATTAGCGTTTCTTAGGAAAAACGCATGCAAAGAGATACCTGTTATGGGGGGATGTAGTTGTAGCTAATATGCAATACTGTGTAACACAGCTTCAGGGCTTTGGCTTGTGGAACTGTTGTTAGAAGCTGTTTGGGCAACCTGAGTGTTCGGGGCAGCTGTTTTAGGTTTGTGAGGGCGTATGGTTTTTGCTAGGGTTTTTTTGTTGTTGTTGTTGTTTATAGTTCTGAAAGTAAAACCCAAACCAAAAAGACAGGAAAAATATGGAGAGCCCAGGTGCACTTCACTGTTCAGCCACTCTTGTGAGCACAGACTTTTCTCAGAGATGGGGATGCTGCTGGAAGGATATGCCTTCATTCTCTCTGTGTGCTAATCTCTCCCAGCAGCTGTTCATAGCCTGAGATGAAATTCTCTTTGTTTGTGACTCTGAATAACACTTGTGTTCAGCCACAGCATCTCAAGTCTGGAAATGTTTTAGTAAAGTGGTTCTGCCCAGAGTTCCCCTTTGGTGATGCTTCTTTTCACATAGTATTTGGGCTTTTTGGGGGTTCTGGGGACTCTGACTGTTTGGAATCTGCAAGACGAATAAGAGAAGGAAATTGTCTAAAAGTCAAAACTAGAAATACTGGGAAACAATTCACTTAATCTCTTCTGCATTTGGGAAATGGAGAAACCTTTACTCTGAAAGAGCAAAACACTTAGATGTAGTTGTAGCACTAAGTGCAATAAAACAAATCTTTTTGAATGAGATGTTGGAAAGCACCTAAAGGGTAGAATACATGTGTACTGAATTATTTGTTTWTTTTCTTTTTTGACAAGTTTTAGAGGAGAGAGCTCTTTGTAATTTCCATACTTTTTTTTTTTTTTTTCCTCTTCAGGACCTACTGCAGCTCTGTGATTGCTGATACATGCTTGACAGTCTCAAAGGGTCCTGGCAAGATGGCATCTTCCAGACTTCCCATCCTTATAGCAGTGGCATTTTCCTCTCTGCCCTTTGTTCTTTCCCATTCAAACAGGGTAATGTGGTTTCAGGAGTTCTTTCCACCTAATGTGTGCCCTATAAATGCCAAAGAAAACACTTTTTATGGCATCATGTTTGACGCAGGAAGTACTGGAACCCGGATTCATATTTACACCTTTGTGCAGAAGAGCCCAGGTAAGACCCCATGTATGTCGACTTAGGTTCCCACTTCCCAAAACAGTTTTGTTTTTTCCCACCACAACATTTGAGGGAAACTGAAGATTTCTATAGTTTGTCCTTCAAATGGTCCTCCTGCAGGTGCTTATTGTCCATTTGTCTTTGTGTTTWGCTGTGTAAATATCTTTTTTTGTAGGTCTTTTGAGTCTCAGAGATGTAATTCTGTGTATATTGGAGAGTTTTCAAAGGTTTTCATCTGTGCAGCTATTTAAAAGGAATGTCTCATTGAGATGAAAAGATACTTACACTGTTTTTGTCAAGTTGCATTTTACCTTAAATTCTACCAAGAGATACCGAAATTCTGCATATGTTTGTGTCACATTTTGTAGCAAATTACAATCAGTAAATCAAAGAGTTATTAAGTACTGAAGGTGTGAGCTGTTTCCAGGAGAGCTGTGCTCGGTGCATCGCACTCCAGTGTACCTGCTGCTCACAGGGTGCAGAGGTGCCCAGTTTTGGCTGCGCATACAGCAGGATTCAGGAGGATGAATTAGCTTGGGTACAGTGGGCCAGCAAATTTGCAAAGGTTGAAGGCCGGGACTGGTGTGGGTTGGTGACTGGGACTTGGGTCATGTAGCACTTACGTGTCTTTGCATGACTTCATGTGTAGTTTGGAAGGACTGGTGCAAGGTCCAGTTCTGATGGACTCAGCCTGACTCGTTATGGGCAATACTCGGGGACAGCTTCTACACCCAGGCTGCTCTGGGAGCAGTGATCAAACTGGTTTGGCTTCTCAGCCAAATAGTTGAGTACACTCATCTCTGCTCTGTCTTTGTGAGTTGGATGAATCACYTGAGGATAATCAAGAGTTGATTGTGTCTTAATATGCACTGGTATTTCACAATTAGCTTGGGGACAGAAAGGCAAAGCAATTTAAGAGTGGGCAACAATCATGTTGCATTGTTGTAATGTATTGTAGTTCACAAATGCTAAATGAACATACTTCCAATTCTAGCATGTTGTTAATGAATTAWTTGTGTACTTGGAGGATACAAGGGCAATGTTYTGCTAAATATATTCCTGAAGTGAAGGAGCAAGGCTTGTTTTAGGAGGGGAATAATATTGTTTGCAAGGAGAAATCAAGGATAGTCACTTTACAGGAGTTGAGGGCAACCTTTTGGAAATTAAAGAAAAAGGTTTGATTTGTTGACTCTATCATGTAATGTTTTGTTTGTGCAGAAGACCTTCCAGAGTTGGAAGGGGAAATCTTTGAGTCTGTGAAGCCAGGTCTGTCTGCATATGCTGATCAGCCTGAAAAGGTAAGACTGTCCTTCATTCCCTGGGACATGGTCTTGCTTCTGTTAATATCACTTGGATTCTACCAAGCAGTTCAAGTGTTACTGATTGCAATTGCAAAAAGTCAAGAAGAAATGTATAAGTTCTACTGCTGTTTCTCTAAACCAGTTCCTCTACTTTTGTGAGTTAATTTCTACACAGTGAAATAGAAGCTGGTGTTTTACATATTTCATCGGTGGAACAGTGGCTTAATTAATTGCTTAAATGTTTATATATATGTAACTATATATTATATTTTTATATATATATATATTATATTATATATATAACTAGACTATATTCCTTTGAGAATTTCAAAGACAAAGTGATTTTTGTCTCTCGCACTGTCCATAGTCAGTGATTATTTCCCCTATAGCTACCCTAAATATGAGTAAATACGTACTCTGTCTCATTTACAAATAATTTTCTGAGGTTTTGATTGGAATTTTCAGTGTTAGTCACAGTTCAAAATGGGCATATTTTGCTTGKATTTGATTAGTTTAAAGGTAAGGCATTAAGAATAGAAGGGGGTCTTTTTAGTCATGTTACACTGAGAAGCAAAGAGCGTTCATTTCTCTGACTCCTAATTTTGTGTGTGTAGTCAGATCTGCAAAAGTTGGTTTTTGTGAGTAAGTTATGGAGAAGAATAAAAATGCWCTTTGAAGTCAGATTTTATGATCAGACTTCCATCAGACTGTTCTTTTTGATTCTTTGCTGTTATCTTTGGAACCGTAGCTTGTAAGTCACTGCTCAGGGATATGTAGGACTTACTTCAGTCAAGCTCAGTTCAAATATTGATTGCAGTTTTAGCTGAATAGTGGCTTGTTACAAGCAGTTACTCTTTTACTGTCTCAGGACCTTTGCTCTTCTGTTTATATACAGAGTTTTTTGAAGCACAGTTGGATGGTTACATCTTCCACAATCAGATGTATTAATTAATATAAAAATTTATAATTTCAGTTAAAAATTGAAGTTAAGTACATCCTTTTAACTTTCAAATGTGGGTGATTGTGAATTAATGCATAGTACACCCTTTCCATGCCACTCGATGGATCAGGAGTCAGAAACGAAAACAGAGCAGAGACAGCTAAAATAAACCTGTTTTTGTGGTGTGCTGGGACTGTTGTGAAGTAAGCTGCCATTTTCCAGACCCTTTTCACTGACAGGAAGCTCTTTCATAAACTAAAGGAGGTGCCAGAGAAATGACAGATTAGATACACTATCTTGTGTGGTTTAGCAGCCTTGAGGTTGGGAGCTGGAACAGTGGGGGTTTCAGGTTTCTCATTTTGCACAGTTGAATTCCTTGCTATAGGAATTTGAATGTGACACTTCRTGGAAGAGTGAATGGATTTTGGATTTTTTTTTAAACTTTGATAAGATCACTTGTGATTTCAGTTAACTCCTGTTTGTTGGGAAGGAGAGGAAAACTCACCCCAAAAGAAATTTCTAGGCATTTCACAGGAGAATGTTTATTGCTTTTGCCAAACTGTAATTGTTAGAGCAGTGGAAATAATTGAGAGCCAGCAATGATGTCTGCACTTTGTGTGGTAACCATTGCACAGCTGGCATTTTAATTACAATATTTGCTACAAACACACTTGGAATTCTTACATTTTATGTWGTGAATTCAGATATTTCCCCTTGCCTTGGTAGCCTCAGTCAGTAWTTGCACCATTTAGTTTYATCATACTGCAAGATATTTAGGTTTGTCAGGTAATCAGTTCCCTCATCTCCCCCCATCCTTTCCAAAAAATTGCCTTCCACAAACAATGACATTTTCTTCCCTAAAATATCTTGTTGAATACACCTTTTCTTCCAGTGCAGACATTCTCTTTAATGTTCTATGAGATGTCTAGCATGGTTTTTATGTTTGTCTTATTTTGGGTGTGGATATCTCCTGCTATTAAATGCTGTTTTCACAAGTGTTGAGGGGTAACTGAGAGGCCTATTCTGTGATGGCCTGTAGGTGAACACTATAAGAAAAACTTACTTTTTGTTTTAGGGTGCTGAAACTGTCAAAAAATTGCTGGACATGGCCATAGATGCTGTGCCACCTCACCTCTGGAAGAAGACCCCAGTAGTGTTAAAAGCCACGGCTGGACTTCGCTTACTGTCAGAGGAGAAAGCTGAGGCTCTGCTTTCAGAGGTACTACCAAGTTCTTTTGGATTCTGTTGTCTCTGTTTCATCTTTTTTTTTTTTTTTCCACTCAGTTCTCTATTCCGTTTAGCATAAGAGAATTTCAGCTGTGAAAAGAGACTGTAATCCCATGATAGCATGAAACTCACAGAATGAATGTCTTGTATGGTCCTGAAATCCTCTGTCTTTCTGTGCAAGGAAGGCATGGAGAGGGACCTACCATACTCTTTCCTTTCTTTCYTCTTTGAAAGAGGAAGAATATTATTACTCCATACACTTGTCTTATTTCCTACTGCTGTATAAAACAAAACTTGTCACCTTCCAAGCAGAACAAGACGTTGAAGACCAAGAAATCTAATTGCTATTTCTTTCCGCAGGTGAAAGAAGTCTTTGAGGAATCACCATTTCTTGTTCCAGAGGACAGTGTTGGCATCATGGACGGATCTCATGAAGGTATATTTTAGAAGGGGTAAAAAGCAAAGATAAATGGAAAAAAAGAGAGATCCTATGAACATGAGAGGGAAAGAGAAAAACTAAGGGAAAAAAATGAAAGGTTTCTAGCCCTGTTTGAAACAATGCAATCCTGCCTTTCCTAGGGGCTATTGATTACTTGTTAGGGTACAAATGCAGATACACAGAGAGATTTCACAGGTTTCAGAACAAAACCTCATCACAGCAATAAGTATTCAGGCTAGTGCAGACTGACCAGATAAAGCCTTCTCTTGGGGACTGGTGCAATAAAGACTTTCATGTCACCTCTGAAAGGCTACATGGCAATATATGGCAAGCTGGGAACCTTATGGAAAAWGTCTTGTAAATTCTACAATATCAGCATTACAAATAGCCTACTATGATTTGCTTATCAATTATCAATTTAAAGTTGGAAGAATGTGAATATTAAAGGAGAATGAAGGATCATTGGCAAATATTAAAAAYAGATAACTAAATAATAAAATAGTAAGATAAAAATAAGCTGTTGAGAAAAATGCTGCTAGTAAAGTAGCAAGGAAGTACTATAAAATACAGGAAAAGGTGAAATATGTTGTAGGTTTGGAGCGAACAATCATTTTGCGGTGCAGAAAAAGTCACTGTAACATTTGGCTACATGTCTAGACATGCTGCCTTGGAGAATAGGCAGGTAATTATCATCTGCATGGATGCCTGGTGAAAAGAGGCATCCTGTCATGTTATATTTAGTTCAGAACACTTCCTTATGGCAGATAAATTGCCAGTTTGGAAGCTGTTGAAGGAGAACAAGAATTATCACAGAGTTTAAACAAGTAGTAAATGGAGAAAGATTAAAGAGCAAAATCTGTCCACATGGGCCAAGAGAAAAGAAGTATCACAAAGTCTTCAAATACTTGATAAATATGGTGTTATGCATGGTTTGTCACTGGGATTAGAGGGTGAATTGTACAGTGGGGARAATGGTTGTATTGACAGGGGACAGGACCAATGAGGCATGATAGAGCAAGGGTAGCCTGTCATGTTTATGTAAAATCCCTACCTCTTCTGCTCTCACCTTTGCCTGTGCTTGGGTGAGAATCATGCCAGTGTCAAGGAAGCCACTAGAGACAAAGGAAATATTTGTGTTTTACTGGTTGTTGTTCTGTCTGTAGTGTAATTATAGAAACTACAAGATTAAAGCAGTGATGTGAATGCAGTTTTCAGATTAGGAATTGAAGACCTGGGGTGCAAAAGTGGGCCCAAGGAAACCTGTGCATTGTGTCAACTCATTGCTTCCTCTGTATGTTGTTTGGATAATGGATATGATTTGTGCATGCTGCAGTTGCATGGGTATTACAAAGTTCCAGCTATTCCAGCTGATGGGACTTGTGTGAATCAATAATGCATCATATAATTTAATTATGAGTTTGAATTAATCTCTGAAGTCTGGGGTGGTTAGGTTAAATTAGTAATGACTTCCAGGTAAATAAATAACATGTGGAGGGCTGGTAAGAATGGGCAGGAGTTTATGGAAATACTCAGTGGTGACTGTTTTTTTTTTTTTCTTTTTTTCACTCTTTGCAGGAATTTTAGCCTGGATCACTGTGAATTTTTTGACAGGTAGTTAATTCTATATAACTACTCCCTAAACTTGAACTTGAGTCTCTTCTGTGGAGGTGATTACCCTGAGTTCCTCTGCCTTGGCCATGCTTTTCCTCCCTTCCCTGATACCAGTGCTGAAGCAGTGGATTGTCTTGGGCAGACCGTGTTCCATAGTCTGTAGTAARAAGGAGACATCTTTATCCCGAAAGTGCCAGAATTCACTCAGGTCTGGGAGGCACTGACAAGCTGGTTTCTCTAACGTGCACTGGGGAGTGGAACTGATAAATGTGTGGAAAACAAGACCTTGCAGTGTTCTTCATCCCAGTGTGAGCTGTGCAGCTGCAGTAGTGCCTTAGCACTACTGGCTTCAAGAGCTTCTGGGAATGCAATCTAGTGAAAAGAAAACCAGTACTCTAGTAGATAGGTGAGCAAGCAAAAAAGCTGCTCTGAGTGAAGAGAAATTGTAACAGCTGGTTTGGCTCTTATTCCTCTTCCTCCCCCACTGCTTTTGACCGGCTATATGGTCATTACAAAATTCCTGTACTGTCCCTGACAGCCTTCTGCAGGAGATGCTTTGTCTCTTACTTTCAGCTTTTGCTTGATACCTAGAGATTTATCTGCTGCTCTTTGGGAGTGAGATTGAAATCAAGGAGGAAAGTCTGTGAATCTTTCCATAATGTCTGTTTGCCTACCTGTTCTGTGTGAGATTTTTTTCTTTGAATTGCTGTGGTACTGTGATCATCTGATGGCTGCCTGAACACAGACACTGTATCTGCATTTTAGCATTTGTGCACTTGGGGCTGTTCTGAGCATGGTGTTGTTTGCAGGGCAGCTGTCTGGCCAGAACCAGCAAACTGTTGGGACTCTGGACTTGGGAGGAGCCTCAACCCAAATCACATTTCTGCCACGGTTTGAGGTGAGGAGCGGTTAAAAGTGCGCGGGTTGGGGCTGCAAGGCCGATGGRGAATCCTGAGCACTGCTGCACTTCTGATATCGCTTTGTCAGCAGTGGCACGAGCAGAACATCTGTGGTTTACAGAACATCTGTATTTCTGTTCCCTTTGAGATCAGCAGCTAGCGCTCGCAGACAAAGGAGCCTGAATAACAAGGAAATAAAAAGAAAGAAAGCAARTGAATGAAACCAAAAAGAAACAGCTTTTGTTTTCTAGACTCRGTCTGGGAAAGCCTCATTAATGGTTATATTGGTGTGCATTCAACAAATGTWGAACATTTCTAGGGAGTATTCTTGAATATTAGAAGAAATCTGGTCTATCTTTCTGTTTTTTTTCCCATTCCATTTTGGTAACAGATCTTCACTAAATCTTGAGGCTGGGGAGTGTCATATGGGGTAGATGTCTTTAATGGTAGCATAGTCAGTTCTCTGTTTTCATAACGATTTCTTCTCCTTCCATTGGAGAATTTGCCTCTCTGTCCCTCAGACAGCTCTGCTGGATTTCTTGGCAGTTCTATAGCTCTTCAGAAACAGTTTGAACTGAGACCCAAGTCTGCAGTTTGTATGAGAAAATTACATCAATGAATAATGGAAATTACCTGAATGAGTAATAGAAAGGCACTGTAGGATTCTGTACCTTTATMTTGTTATGTTGTTTATGTCACTCTTTTTGAAGGAGTAATTTCTTTAACATTTTTTGTTTATAGAACTTCAGATTCTCAAAGGATGTTTGGTGACCCCAAAACACATSGCTTTCACATCAGTTTATTTTAATTCTGCAGTCGTGTGTTATGTTGAAACATGACATGCAGCCTTATCCTGTTCACCAAAGCCTCAAATATACTCCGGGCTTGTCCTCTGTTTTGTGTTGATAACACCTGCTAAAGTGGGCACTGGACCAACAGGAAAGGGTGTTGCATGTCAGGGTTTTGGAGAATAAATAGAACTGTGAAATAGGCTGAACTGCAGCTCAGGATTAAAATGTCCCCTTAGAGCCTTGCAGGAAAAGGCTTCAAGTGTTTGCTGCTGATCAGGACTAAYGGTGTGAATTTGTGGGGCAGAGTAGAGTCAAAGTTCACGTTGCCTGCTTGTACACTGTGTCTGCTTCTCACCTGTGTTGTCCAGTTCATATAAATAAGCTCAGTATGTTTGTGGGAGTTTTCCCATCTGACAGAATTAGCAAGGATACCTCCTACCTCCCTTTGATTTATAGTGGGGATTTTTCCTTCCTGCAATCTGAGGTAGTTTGCTCTTGTATTAGTTTTGAACAAAATACTGTCATAGTAAGAGATTCATTAATTAAATAGGAATTACAGGTTAGTAGAGAACATATAATGATAACTGCATGGAGCTGATTTTAATTTTATGGCATTATTGCCAAAGTTAAAAGCAACTGAAAACCAATCATAATAATTATGAAATAGTCTGTCTGGTGTCTGCCTCATTTTTGTGATGTAAGGTTTAGAAACAGAACTCAAAATACAGCAGAGTCTGTGTGTATGAGGCCAAGGATGTGACTTCCATTTCAGTGATAATCAGCCTGAGACCCAAAACAAATTTCCATTTGTATTTGTTCAGGAGAAGCTCAAGCTAAATATTGCCAATTCCTTTCAGCTTTGAGCAGGCTTCTCTCTAGGGCTCTACAGGTACAGAAAAACTAACCCAGATCTGGATCTCCTTACTTGAATGGTAACTACAGGAATAAGAGTGTCTGATGTGACTGCACAGGGCCCAGAAAGGATGGGAGCATGAGGAGAGATAGAAACTGGGATTGAGAGACTGGGGACTGGACACAAAGAAACAGTAAATGAGCACTAAACTGGTTCAGCTTTACAAGWGTGTGAGTTAGTTTGTCCAGAAAATAGGGCAGGGTACCAGCAGGATGGAGGTACACACAGAGAGAAGACAGGAGAGAGAAAGAAAACTGAAGGTGTTGAGACCGGGCTGCTTCACTTTATCTAGCCTGTTTAGACTGGGAGTGAGTGGTGACAGTGTTTCCTTGAGTATCAGCAAAATATTTGACATGGTGAAAACTTGGCCTATACTTTGCATTTTTAGTTCTTCTGAGTTCCYCAGGTTTGGTGCCTAGTGGGACTTGCAGAAGTTCTTAGCACTTTTAATGCAGCTGATATCAATGGCGACTCTGTACATGTAGAGCAGCGTGTAAGTACTCTGGAAAAATTCAGGTTTCCTGAATTAGAAGRYGTTTCCAGCCTGTTCTGTTGTGCTTCCCTTTCATAGATTGAAGTAACTCAAGGATGCATATAAATAAAATCAGTCTTAAAAGCTGCAGATATTACAGCAATGGCACCATTGGAAAACTGGTTTTTATTTTCAAAGCAGATCAGATGAGTGCAGTAAACCCTATGGSTGTATCTGTGATATTACATCAAAGTTGGTTATTTCTTTATTGTATAAGATAAACTAAAACATTTTTTTTCTTTTACTTAACTTTTAGGAAACTCTGAAGGAAACCCCTGGCGATTTTCTTACCTCATTTGAAATGTTTAATAGCACCTACAAGCTCTATACTCACAGGTGAGGAACAAAAAGACTGCTGTTTGCACTGGGAAAATCAGTCTTCCTGTAGCCCCTGGGCTAACCACAAACAGCCATGTCATCCTGGTACCAGCAGCAGAGACCATGACTTTTTTACTAGGCATCTGCACGAAACAGTAGTTGAAGTGGAACATGACATTAGTAGGCTGGAAATGTTCCAAGATCATGGTTAATGTCACTGCAAGGGAATATTAGGCAGTGTGTCAAATGAAGAGGAAGCATTATGAGTCACTGTATTTAAGGAGAAGAATTCTTATTACTGGATTCAAGCCAAATATTCTCAAACAAGCAGAAAGGTAGATATGGTGCCAGTAATCAGAGCTAAACATGATCAGAGATTCAGAAAGACGACCTTCCTGAGACTTCTCCTTGCTTCAGAATTTCATATCTCATCAGCAACTGGACAGAAAGTAAGACCTAGGTTGCTGTAAATCAAAGACACTCACAGGGAGCTGCTGCCATCCATGGAGCTAAACAGGAACCAGATGGAGGGGATACTTGGCCTGGAATAATGTAGTTGTCCCTACTACTTTAAGCTGACAAGTTTCTGAGATTTCTGCAGTGAAATCCAYGGAGTTTACCTGCCTGAGTTACAGTCCAGTGAGAACTAGATAATGTATAATAGATGGCCTCAGCCTGTTACTAGTGGAGTGAACATTATCATGTCAGTCACTTRCAAAATCTGCTTACTTGACAGCAGAGCTGGTCTGAGTCCTCCTCCTTACATCTGCTGATGTAACTGATTGCTGTAGTCATCAATACAGTCCATTAGATCACTTAAAATATATGGGACTGGAAAATAATCTATAAAGCGAGAGAGARCTGAAGCTATTTTAACTGATTATTCTGTAAATATTTTAAATTACATGACAGAAGGGGTAAGTGGCCAAACACAGAGGTGGGAATGAAAGGGTCAACAGGATTTTAATCTGTGTTGCTGCAGTGTGTGATGACATTTTCATAAACATTGTTCACATTCTGCTTTTAAGAGCACATCTTGTGTGTGTTACATAAGAGTGGCTGCCCTATTCCCCATGCACTCAGCACATACTCTACTTTTCCCCTCGTTTTTAASGTGCATTTTTGCTTTTCATGATCATCTTGTATAAATGCCACATCAGCTCTAGCCATTCTCTGCAGTTTTAGATTTACCTGTTTTACAGCTTTTTGTTTTTCTTGGGTTTGTGTTGCTCTTTTGAGCCTTGGGGTTGATCCTTGGGCAACTTTGTTTTAGAGAGGGGAGCCTTGTGGGAAACAGGGGAAGGAAATTTGGTTTGGGTGTTCCAGGGCTCAGGAAGAGGAGTATGGGTAAAGCATACCAAATGTGCTGGAATTAAGACTATAATGTCTGTCTTCGTTGTTCACAGCTATTTGGGGTTTGGACTAAAAGCTGCAAGACTGGCAACACTTGGAGCTTTGAATAAGGAAGGTATGTTCATGTGATAAAATATCCAAGATTTTTGAAGAGATGCTTAAACTTGACCTTGTGTCAGCAGCCCATTTCCTGTGTCTCTTCACTTCTGTATCTTGTGCTTTTCTGTGTTCCTGTTGGTGTATGTTTGTCTGAAAACAGCTACCRCTTGTTCAGGAATTGTGAGACAGCTGCTTTTCCCTATTTTTTAGTTTAGCCAGCAGTGACACTTKAGTGCAAATTCCAGAAATGCATATGTGGGAACATACAAACACCATATAGACCATATGGCCAACCACAAACACACAGCTTTACAAGCGTCCACAGAAGCATAAACAGCACAAACAGGTCCTTTTCCTGAGGGTTGCTGTTTAGTCCAAACCCACTCCTTAGGTTCCTTTGGTATCTGCCTGGCCTGTGGTGTTCCCCAGACTTGTTGGGTGCACTGCCTAGTCTAGATGGAAGCCTACAAGCACATCACACACTCTCGCTCATTACCGTGGTGCATCCTCATATTCCTGAGTCTTTCCTGTCTCTCATCCAGAGCTTGGGCCTTTTGTCTAGTGTCTGAACAGGTCCTGGGCTCTTTTTACCTCCTGGATTCTTACTTGACAGCTAGGTGGACTTGTGATAATTACTGGAACTTACTCCAATCAAAAATAGTTGGGAATAGGGATTATGAAAAAGATAGGACAGACTTGCAGTGACACTGCTTGCACAGAAAAAGCATGCTGACAACTGCCTGCTTACTGGTGACTGTCTTCTTTTATAGTCCCCTCTGGTTTGCCATACTTGCACTTCCCTGATCCCCTGATTCCCCCCTTTCCCAGCCTTTGAGCCTTTTTCTAAGCATCCCATAGTAAATTTTGCTATCCCACAGTCTGCCTCAACCATTCTGTTAGAAGTTTACTTTTTCTATGAGACCTGTGTGGCAATAATCATGTTTTCTTCTTACCAATTACAGTATTTGTGGTTGAACCCTTCAAAGGTACATTCAGTGGATCCTGTAGTGGCCATTGATCTCTGTCTTAGGAGTTTTTGTCTCCATTGTTCAGTTGCTTTGTCTGTCTTGGTTCTCTGCTGTCATTAGGGTTTGAGTATCTGTGTATTTATTACCTCTCATTTCTTGTCTTTTTGTGTTGAATAACCATTATCCAGATAGCTTTGTACTATTTATCTTATTTACAAATGACCAACCTGGCTGTTCTGCTGTTTGCAGGACAAAATGGACATAACTTTTCCAGTCTTGAGACTGGTCCTTAATTCATGAGTGCTACATCCATCAATTCAGATTTTTGTACTTTTGCTTGAAGACTTTAATGAATATCTTTCAGCCTCTAGTTCTGCATATTGATCGATAGCTGTGTTAAATTCTGTGCATTCTGTCTCTCCTCTTCTCTCATTCCAGTTGTGGATGGACAGATGTTCCGTAGTTCTTGTTTGCCAAAGCAGTTGGAGGCTGAGTGGCACTTTGGGGGAGTGAAATACCGGTATGGCGGCAACAGAGAAGGTAAACTGAGGAGATTTGTTTCTTTTACAATAAGTCTTACTTCCAGAATCTGAGTTTTTCTTTGTCAAATATTCCCATCAGTTAGCTGATGATGACTGGGATATGAAGGATGCCTGTCCATTTATAGAGGCTGACTTMTGAGAAATCCAAATTAAAATCTGAAGCTGTAAGAGTAGCTACCTGTACCCCTGTCCTGAYGGTGATCTCTTATTTTAAATTATACCTTTATAGTAAATGTTGAAAATTACTTGAGTAAATAAGAGGGGGTTTTCTGAGGCTTTGAGCAAATGGCAAAAATTCTGTCTGTTCTGTTTGTAGGGTACAAACATTTTGGCCTACCAATTAATCTCACTCGTGGAACTATTTCTTAAGAGTCTCTAATAATAAGTTCCTAATGCTGCATACAGAGGATGAGCCTGCTACCATCATAGACTTGAACAGAGTGGGGACCATGAGAGCTGAGTGGCAGATTTGGTGTGTGTGGAGTGGGTTGGTAGAATTTGAGTGTGACTGGGGAGGGAAAGCAAGGTTTTATCTTAACAGGTGGCAGCAAATGTAGAAGATTCTGCTGATCACAGAACATGTCAATGGGAGTTTTGCCTGACATGGAAGTAATTTGTGTGGTGCGTCTTTCATACACAGCAATGAGCTGCTCTAACCAKTACTACTTGTGTTTCAGAGTCCTTGCCTGCGTGCAGGTGCCATGCTGGATTACAGAAAGGATATCTTAATTCTTCTGATGCTTTAATCTCTGCTTCTTTCATTTTTCATGCTGTTGCCACTGTTGCTTCCATCTCCTGCATATGCTCTTTGGCTGACCCCATCTGTGTTTTTCCTGACAGGAGAAACAGGATTCAAGCCTTGCTACTTGGAAGTACTCAAGGTTGTCAAAGGGAAACTTCACCAACCAAATGAGATTCGTGGAAGTTCCTTCTATGCTTTCTCCTATTACTATGATCGAGCAGCTGACACCAACCTAATCGGTAAATTTGGGATATCTACTACATGTGAGCATGTCAGCCAGAAGGTGGACAGAGCAACCCTGGAGGCTGGAGCCACGGGGAGCAGAGAAAAGGAATGTTATTGAGAAAAGAGATACACAAAATGCCTTGAGGGAGTGACATCTGYCTATCAGTGCAGTTTGGTGTTCAGAGTTCAGCACATGAAACTGTGCTCAGGGCTCCAGTTACACCTGCAGCTCTGTCTTCTGTTCCAAGCAGGTCTCACTCCTAGAGCACTCCTAGTGCTTCACTGAGTTGCACTCTAGGGTCAGCTTAGAGAACTCAAATGCTTTCATGTCTATGACAATGTTTTCTCACATCTTCTTTTTCAGATTATGAACAGGGAGGTGTTTTGGAAGTGAGAGATTTTGAAAGAAAAGCCAAAGAAGGTAATTGTCATGAGAGTTGGGAAACTGATTTGTACAAGAAATAACAAAAAATATGAATGTGTAGGCAGTACATAATGTGAGTTTGACTTGGAAGAAAAGCAAATTTATTTAGCCTTTATTTCACTTACACACTTGTTATTGCTSTAAGTCAAAACCTCTAACTGATGCAGAAGACAGTACTGATAGAGCAGTGAGGGGTCGGTGGCTTTACAGCTCTGCTCAGGACAGGAAGGAGATCGTTTATGTCAGTACAAAGAAAATGAATTTCCTGTATCAAGAGCTCCTTCTGTCAAACTCTGGTTTAAGGGAGCCCTAACTTCTGTAAAACTGTCACCTTAAATCCTATTTAATCTCTAACAAAATGGAGAGAGGGAGTAGAGGTTGTTTAATCTGACAGCCTCTTCTGCATTCCTGTACCTCCCTCTGTCTTTTTTCCTGAATGCTTGTTCTAGTTTTGTACCTCCTGTGGATAAAGAGGTCCCACCTTGCCTGGCTACTGATGGCTAAAAGCAAGTTACCTATGTTCTGTGATCATTCTCATGAGTATTAGTAGACAGTATTTTTCAGCAGAAGATGCTTAATTATGTAGTTTGGGATTGACTTTTTTTTTTCTAAAATAAGACCCAAATTCTAATGATTTTTCAGTTAAACTTAATCTCCTTGGAAACTTGGATGATTTTGAATAGGGGGATTAGGCTCTAAAGTTTGAGTGTGGGTTKGTTGTTATTTTTTCCCTGGATAGTGAGAGAGCTTATTTCCAAAGACGTGGCTAAGATGTTACCTAACATCATCAAACCACTTACTTAGCCTTAGAGCATCAGGAGATCAATTCTGTGATTCTGAAKTAATTCTCCTCTGCCTCATTTCAATAATAGAAGGATCCTATTTATCTTTTCTTAGAAGGAAGTGAATTCTGCTCTTTCTGCCTGTAGAACAGGGCAGTAAGAGTAGGTCTGGAAAATGATGCTTAGTGTAAATACATTTCCTGTCACTGTCATCCTGACTGTGGAATCTTGACTTTGCTGCAGTGAGGGAGTGGTTGGTTGGGCAATAGCCTCTTCCATGTCCTTGAGCACGTGTGGTTGGAGAAAACAAAAGAAGCTGCTGTCCTAGAAGGTGGAATCCATTACTGGAGCCATCTGTGGAGAGTAGATGAGGAAAACTGGTGATGTTGTGTTCTTGAAAAAATAAGTAATCTATCAATGCCCTGCTAGTTATCACTTGAGCAGAGATTCTTCAAAAGAGCTGTGTGGATTATGTTGCTGTAATAAAAGGTGTACTCCAGATGGAGTTAAGAGAAACTGGATGTGCAATATGGTTTTCTCTCCAACATTGTAGAACACCTCTGTAGCRTGTACCACGTATCTTATCTTCTGTTATCTTTTGTTATATAACAGAAGAGGGTGGCTTGTTTTWGTAAGCTTTGGCTTGAGGTCAGTTCAAATGTACAATGTTGATAAAAGYGCTAATTTTGCTGACATCCTCTTATTCTTTTTTTCTTCTCTAGTCTGTGATAACATGGAGAGGTACAACTCAGCGAGTCCTTTCCTCTGCATGGATCTCACTTACATCACTGCTTTATTAAAGGAAGGTTTTGGATTTAAGGACAACACAGTCTTACAGGTGAGAAAAAAAACATTAAATCCCTATCAATCAACATGCATTAGTTCATTTTTATGGCTAATTATCTACTGAAGTTTTCCAGATTTGTAACATGTAGTTGCTGTCATTTGTGCAAGATATGAATCTAGGGAACTGTCAGAAACAACTTGGTTTTATTCCTTTATAGTTGACAAAGAAAGTAAACAACATAGAGACAAGTTGGACTTTGGGTGCTACCTTTTACCTGCTGCAGTCTCTGGGGATGACGTATTGACCTGTGACACTCCTGGACTTCAGCATTTCTGAAAGACTGAGAAAGCAAATTGAAATCTCCAGGTATGTTGTTCAGCTGGGACTGGTCACAGAGCAGAACATGGACCAAAGATACTCAACAGATCCTTACCCTGGATTGGCACTGTGCCTAATGAGAGTTGCCACAGTATGATTTATAATTGTGATTGCCATAAATGATCCAGAATCTGCCTTATGAAAGTCAAAAGGCCTAAACTCCAGCAGAGAATATGCAAGGGGCTCAAAACCAGCTTTCACCAGCACGTTTGTTAGAAGCACAGAATACCTGGATGTGGTGGCAGACTACAGACACGTGACTTCCCCTACCCGCTTCTATTTTAAACATACATAACTTAAGTTTGCTCGTGAGATGTTAAATACAGAAATTAATTAAAAATAGCATCAACAGTCATTCAGAGAAAAGTGAACAGCTCTGGATGCTGCCAACCTCAGTGTTCCTAGAATCCAGCTGCTAGCTTAGCTATTACATGGCAAGAATATTCCAGTCTTTCAGGAAGGGCCTGCTATAAGTACGCTTTGGGCATGGTTTTGGGAAAGGTGTTGGCTAAAACATAGTAACTTACCAGGCATTTTTGTAGGCAATAATCATTCCCTAAGCAGAATGTGTGCCTGACTGTGTTTCAGTTCTGCTGCCCTTTCCAAGTCTGTGCAGCTACGCCATACATCTGACTACCAGACTTGATAAATTTATTCATTTAGCATGTAGTCATAACACAGAGTTGTGCTGGCACAACGAGGCAGCAGTGCCAGCTATTGAAACTCAGCTGCCAGAAGAAGTGCTTGTCACATTCCACCCACAAGGAGATTGCAGTCAGATGAAATGGCTGATCTGACAGCTCACTTTGCTATGAGAGCCAGTTCTGTTTCTCTGCTCTCAGCAAGGCACTTTCACAGCCTTCTTCCCTCTGCTGCTGGTGCTCCTCAGGTTCTTGGRTGAACCAATTCAGGACACCAAACTTGAGGTGGTGCTCACCCAAGGGCCAAGTCTAGTGCTATCCCAAGGGAAGCAGGCACGGCACAGCCCAACAAGACCTGCTGAGCCAGTGAGCTGTGTGAGCCCCTCTTGCCAGAGTGAGCTCTGTGGTGTGGTTTCCCATTTGAAACCCATCCATTGCCCAAGTAAAAACACCTGCAGAGACTTTTTCCACCCCATGAAATAACTGGCAGCTTGACACTGTGTTCTCCACAAAATGTGTAAGGTACAGGTGAATTTACCCCATCACAACAAAGAGGTATTGCTCATGTGACTAAGGAAAGCTTTTATTCACTGATCTCTTGTGATTAACGCTTTTCTTTTGGGCAGTTACAGTTACCTGTTTGCTCTAAAACACCTTTCCCACTTCTGTCAAACCAAAGACTGCCCTCACATTCCCTTCTCTGCAAACTGGATTTGAAAATAATTAGTAATTCCCATCAAGGGGAGGAAGTAGTGCACTTACGTCTTCAATGGTCTTGCCAAGCAGTTTGGAAACTTAGAAATTTGCCTTACTGTGAASGTTAGTCCTTTTCCTCTAGTTAGCAGTGCAAGTTTGCCTGTGGGTTAATTAAGCTACCCCTTCTCATATCTCAGGTTTTACAGCACAAGGGTGCAAGGCGTGCTTTTGCTTGAACAAGTTCAGTCAGCAGTAAGAAGCCAAGGGCTGGGGATGGAGCCATCCATACTTATCCCATCACTGACACCTTGCCATAAATTCAGGCTGCTTTTTTGAAACAGGATATGCTCATCCTACATGTGTACTCCTTCAGAATCTGTTTGAGACCCACRCTGAGAAATTCCTCAATGTCACACCAAAGTTTTGTTCCCTCCTCACTAGGAGTTCCTGTTTTAACATGAAGAAAGTAGTTGCRGCCTCTTCTCAACCATAAACATTTCTTATTCCTCTTCCTAGTGTTTGGCAAAGCTTAGTATATGGTCTGGTCTGCAGAACAAGGTGACTGCAAATGCATTCATTTTGTTTCCAGTGAACGTTTTTGTATTCTCAGAAAACAYGAAGTAGGATGCAGTGACTACTGGCCAGGCTGCGTTAGCCTGAGAATGAGCTAATTTAATAATCCAAAAGTCATCTTTCAGTCTGAGCCAGTGCTGTGACAAACTCTTACTGGATCTCGGGGCTAAGAGCTGTGAGCAGTGAGGCTGGTTTCAAACAGGAAGGCAGGGTAGGATGTGGTGTGTAAGGAAGAAGCAGCAGCGTATCTGCCCCCTGAACACACACTAGCCCTGAGGAGTGCTGGAGGGCTGGGTTTGYCTGAAAGGAGGAGAGGCTAAAAGAAGGGTACCATGCAGAGGAAGTTGTTTCTTCTGCATTCTTTTCCTCAGACTCTGGTACTACAAATGCTAGCGGGGAGCACCTGCTTCCCAGTACCAAAGTTGCATTTAATCTGAATGCTCAGGGCCTTCATTTATTGGTGRCGCATTCATTAACTGAAGCAAAACTGCTATAACTGGCATGATCCTTCAGTTATGGGAGAAACAAAAWCTCTGTTTAAAGGTTTATTTTTGCAAGAAATTGCAGAACTGAGCCCCTGCTGTTTACATCTGAATTACCCAAGTGGGTGGGGGGATCTGGAGAAGCCAGTCAAGTCCTCACACTTACCCTAGTGCAATGAGATTATTTATTATCTAAACTAAAGAGTAAGCAGCCTTTTAAAAGAACAGCTTTACTTGCAGCTCTGATTTTGATCTCATCCTTTGTAGTGTCTTTTAGCTAGCCACTAACAGGAACTGCCTAATCTGAGTGACTGCAGAAGCACAAGAAATGGCTTTCAGTTCAAAACTTGTATTTCATTCTTCCTGATGTTAATTCCTAATACTGGTCAACTGTATGTGTAAATCTTGCCCACGGGCAGTGCTTACTTTTAATTTTGTGAGTGGCAAATGTCTATTGCAAGAAGCTGGTGTTTGGAACCTAAGACAGAATATCTTAAATTGTCTATTTTAGTAATAAAAGCATTTTAACAATATTCAAGATGTGTGGTATRGTTTTGTTTCCTAGATATTATTGTTGCCTTGCATCTTTTCCATGGAGCTCTTAAGCCTAGCCAGTTCCACAAGAAACACCATTATTAAATAAAACACCAAGAGAAAGGGCAAAGGGTGAAAGAACAAGACAGTTTTAAAACTCTAAGTTGTCTCTCTCTGCTGCAAACTCCACATCCTTTCTGAGCTGAGGTGCCAGGAACTCAAGAGTGACATTACAGCTCTAGAAATCACATCGAGGAAACTGAAAATAATTAAGCAGCAAAAACCGTTAACCAGTAGTTGGAAAAATTCAGCACAGACAGCTGTTTCCACCTCAGTCTTCAATTCAGGAGGCCCAAATTAAAAGCACATTGTACATTTAGTTCTGTGGTGGAAGACATGGTGGTACTATGGAAAGAAACCCTAAATCCTCTTGAGGAAGGCAAATGAGACAGAGCTTTTGCATAAACCAGTGGATGATGTAACATACAGCTCAATCCCTTCATTTTATTGTAAATTAAAGTAACAATGCAAAGGTTCAAATCAGTCACAGTCCTTTTAAGGGCAATGTATTCACAGGCAAACTGCTGATTCAGACTAACAACAGATCACTTGCTGGCAAAAGCCATGATTTGCTCCTAAAAGAGAAGAAAAAGAGAAGTAATTCATAAGTGTAAGTTCTAGAAAGAAACTTCAGGCACCTTTCCTTTTATATAAATGAACAACAGTTTTTGGCCAGTCTTTCTAGCCTTGTGCAGAGAAATTATTCCTCTCTCCTAGAAAATTAACAAAATTGTAGCCTTCCTTTCCTTCCCAAGTAGCACAAAGCTGGTGTCACCAACAGGTTCTGTACTCAGAAAAGAGGTCTTAATTTGTTTTTTTCTTTTAAACAGAGAAAGAGAAAAAAGAGTTCTGAGCACTGAGGCAGCAGAATTGTCTTCCTTAATGAAGACACTATGCCAGTGGTACCTGCTCTGACCTAGGAATGTACTGATTTTCAACTCAGGAATGTCTCAACTGTGACCATAGGAAACAGGACACCAGTGTTTAATGTGAAGAATAAATGAAATGAAAATTGAAATCCAGAAATGAGGAATCTAATGTGCTGGTGCSTGGGAGCTTTGAGAACAGAGGGCTTAAGCAACCTCACAAAAAGTCCAGCAACTAGGTCAAGAGAGTGAGGAGTTCAGGCAGATATGCTGCAAACAGAGGGTCTGTGTTTAAGACAGAAGCTCCTCATCACCACCTCAGGTAATTTCCATTTTAGAGACTTGGACTTCTCCCACGAGGGAACAATTCACAAGGCAAAACAGCACAGAAACAGGTAAGTCTGAGCTGCAAACTGTGTCTGTGAAGTCACCTGATGTCTTAGTGAAGATACATCTTCATAGGGCTGTTTTTTGTGTGCATTGCTGGAATACAATACAAGGTTTGACATCCAAATTCCATAGCAAAATAAAGCCAAAGACTTCTGGTGACCTCTAACTCCGAATAACTGATACAGAGTATAAGACACCTAGGTCCTTTATATTCTCTTGTGCTGCAGGAATAAAACCAGTCACTATTCAGCCATTTATTTAGGAACTCCTCAGGCCCATTCAGGACACAAACCCCCCAGTTTAAACAAGTAGTATTTGCCAACCAAAAATGTTTCATTTCAAAAGACACAAATGAAAATCTTTACATTTTGTGTGTATGTCACTAATAGTTTTGGATAATTTCTACGCTCCTGAAGTGAGTTCCTTACCTTGACAGGAGGCAGGGCATTTGTTGCTTGCAATCCCCATGTCCTCAGCAACACCAGAGGAGCCAGTGTGGTGGAGTACAGCCTCTTTAGCATATCAGTAGCAGCTATCAAGGAGACATTGTGCCTCTGGCGTTCTGTTTCAAACTTAAGGAGGTGCTTTAAGGAGCCTGGAAGAGATAATCGAATGCTTCTATTATACTCGAYGTGCAATGAAGAACAACCGGGTGCATCTTATCTATAGGGCAGTTTCCTCAGGCAATTCAAAGAGAACAGAGAAATGGTCTATCCCATAAAGACCTCCTTCCACCAGCTCCTGCTCCTCATCTCACCACGCCTTTAATTAACATCCTGCAGACCTTTATTTTTTCTATAGCAGCTTTAAGATTTGCGGGATGGAAACTGCATCCAAGAATCTTAAACTGCTCCACAGCCATTGGACACCAGAACAGCTTTGCTTCAACAAAGCTTATGCCTTCAAACACAGGAGCATGCTTAACCAGCAGTACTGCTTGTCCTGGTGTAGGAGCAAAGGCCTGGAAGACCAATCCTCTTACTGCCACTGCATTGTCTTGGATCCTTACCCAGATCGCTCCCATTGAAGGCTGCTGCACTGAGGTGATGAGCTAAACATGCAATATCACCAAAGCCCAGATTTACACCTTGTCCTGCAAGTGGGTGGACTCTGTGTGCTGCATCCCTGGAGCAAGAGAAGACAAATTTATTTCYCTTCTTTAAGAAAGACACAATGGTTGACAAACCCCAGAATGGATCGGTGTAGCACTCCTCACCTCTTTGCAATGAACCACCTTAGAGCAGCATATGAGCTTTATCCAGTACTTCCTTGTATGCTATGCTGAACTACCTCACTGCCTTTCCAGTGTAAGAAGCAAGACAAAGGGGAGATAACAAAAAAGCARGTCTGAAAGGAAAAATTACAAAGAGGTGACTAGCCAAAGTCCTCTCAGATCACATGTGGAACAGGCCTTAATGTTTTTGTAAGTGACCTCAGCATAACAGCAGTTCTGTCAATGGCACATTGCACAAAGTGGACAAATGTGAGTGTGAAGGAGAAGTGGGCTATCACTAAATAGAAACAAAATCAGGTTCTTCTATGAAYAGACTTACCTATAAAGGACAAAGGCAGACATATTGATATGGGAGTTGCAAAGTTAGAGAAATTAAAGGAAGGCTTGGTATGAAATGCAAGATCATCTATTTTACTAAGCTATAAAGCACGAGGTGCTCCCAAGCATGGAGTGRCTCACAGGTTGGAAAGATGAAAAGTGTAGCACACTGAAGTGTAGCACAGCATCCAAGAATTACTAAAACCTACCACCATACTGCAGCTGTGGCAAAGATGAAAGTACATGTGACCTTAGAATATTAGAAATTAGGTATTTTCCTATTTGAATAGGCCACCATACAAAAGTCTCTGACATCCCACATGGAATAATTTTTGTCATTTGTGTTCAAGAAGAGTGAGTTTAAAACTCAGACTGGTGCACAGAATGGTTGCTACAATGTTTAGGGAAGTACAGATCCAGCATGAGATACTGGATTGTTTCACTAGACTGTACAAACCAGAACAGGGAAATAATTATCTTTCAATTTACAGAGCAAGCACACATACTGGGCAGAGAGCTACTCATACAAAAGGACACGAGGGCACACAGAATGAACTGAATCTGGACAAAGTCACACTAGAACAACATATTATTTCTAACATCTGATTTGTTGGCTGACAGTTGCTATCCTCACACCATTTCTAATCACATGCCACCCCCACTCACCCAGGGGCTWCCACTGAGGCCCTTACCCGATCAGAGCCACGCGGTGCTGGACATACTCCGTGGCGTGCCCCATTCCAAGAGGGAACCTGGCTCGGCTCTCTGGATCCACTTTAGAAACGCTTGGAGGCAGCTGACGGACTGCAGTCCCTGAGGGCTTCAGGACTGAAATGGCAGAACGAAACATGGCCCCAGCAGTGTCAATGAAGTCAGAGTGGTTTATGTTGCTCCACTGAAACAGACAAACAAATCTGGAAGTTGACCCAAACGAGACCTATAAAAGAACACAGCTGAAAAAAAAATCTGAGTTCCAAATTCCAAAGAATTTTAACCACTTGGATAAAACTATATACAGTAGAAAAAACTATCTTCACCATTTTAGGATATATGAATTTCCAACTAGGATGAGCGTACTCTTCCTACTTTCCGGAAATTTAGGTCAACTTCTGTGACTTTCAGAACTAACGTAATTCAGTCCAAGGGGTCATCTTTTCTTTGCTAAGTGCCTTTTCAATATCATTCTCACCAGAGGAAAGAAGTTCAGAATCCACCTCTACCATTACTGTTATTTAAACTACCAGGTTCTATTCTGTTTTTTAAAGCCTCATACATTCCTCAGATGAAGCTGATACTCACAAAGGCAGAGTTGATGCTATCCACAAAACTTTCCTCATCCATAGCGAGAAGTTCCGACGCATGGTCATGAGATGTAGACCAGACCAGAGAGCTGGCTGTGTCGGACAGCTAGTTTAAGAGAATGTCAAGRGTAAATATCAAGAGAAAAGTAAGTATTCAGAGCAAGGATTTCTCCACTGCCCTGCCTCACACCAGCCCCTCTGAAAATTATGCTTTCAGCCCAACTTGTTACAAGTGGGACACACCAAGGATAAAATGAGAGGGAAAARCAATAAATGAAGAGAAAAGGGCAGATGCACAAATTTTTAAGAGATGGAACCAACAGAGAAAGGTGTGGACAGAAATRAAGTTACTAGACAACAAAAAATTTTAAAAACATTAAAAAAAAATACAGAGTCACCCTACCGGAAGAAGTGCAATTGGCCCAGTGGGAAGGAACCTCTGCCATGCTACATTATTGTCTGTGGCCTACAGTAGAAAAAAGCCAGTGAGCCAGATCACCCTCGTAAGCTGTTCTGCTGCTTATGGAAGAGTCAGTTTAGCAGAATTTTACCTCAGATAAATGGAGAGTTGCCACCACAGCACTCTGGTCATACTGATGTTCCATGTTCTTAATTTCAGCTTGCTTCCGGACCATAGAGTTATGACCATCTGCACCAATCTATAAAATGAAGAGATGTGAAGCTCCTAGAAAGCCAGTATTTCACTCTACAAACCCCAGCCTGCATCTATACGTTGTCTGTTCATTAAAAAAAAAAAACTCTCCAAAAACCAGAAGAGGTGTCCCCTTCTGCTCTTCTCCAATTCAGCAGTGTCTCCTTGCACCGCGCAGAGAGAAGGCTATGTCCAGTGTCCCACACTCTCTCTGACAGAGTTGCCACTCCCCTTTCTTGAGCATTCCACATGGGTGGAGCAGCACACATGGAATCAGAACCAAATCCCGTGGAAAGGACTGGCGTTAGAGAGAATACCTGATCAACTGAAATAAAGAGCTTAGTTACCAGCAGCTTGGTCTGAAGTCTGCGTCCATCAGCTAATTCAACTTGGACCCAAGGGCTCGTGTCACAACTGTGGGAAGGAAGGGGCCAGGTGTACCCAACTGCTCTGCTCCTGTAAAAAACCTCCACCCTATCTGGTGGGGACACAAAAGACCATGGTCACAGCATGGAAAAAAGGAAACATCGCTATAACAGCTGAGGCCATGCATGCCTTAACAGCACCCTAGGAACTGACCCTACAATTCTAAAGCCACCCTGAAAGAACAAATCTGGACAACCCCTTGTTACTGGCAGGCCTGCTCTGGACAAGATGCTGCAGATCTTTGATTTAAATCTAATTTTGGAGAGACTGTGTTCTGGAGAACTACATATGCAAGTGCTTTCCTGCTGAGCAGCCTTTGGAAGACAGATTTCTCCTTCCCAATTCCAGAAACTGTCTATTCCTCAAGAGTTACTTATTAGACAAATTTCTCCCTCTCAAGACTTAGTACATACAACAACTGAAAGCTACCTGCAGGAAATAAAACATGAAGGAAGTTGTCCACTACCTGCTACCGCATCTARCTGCTTTGTGAGAGCAGACATAATGACATCATTCTCCACTATGTAACCCATGTCATCTAAGTCATCTTTCTCAAAAACGATCATGGCTTCTGAACAAGCATCCCATACCTAAAAAAAAAAAAAACAAAATAAAAAACATGAAGCTACATGGTAAAGAAGTGCTCTCTGTTTCAGGGACTAAACGGCAAAATGATACGGTAATCTAGAAATACAAACCTAGAGGAAACATCCTGGATTACTGTCCATTCCCAGCATCACATAATTAATTTCATYAAATGATTTAGCTTAAGCTCAGGAAGTAATTCCAAGTCAAGTTTTTTATCCTGACTTTCCTGTTACATAATTGACATATTAAGCTACCCTACAACYTTGCTGTAGGTTAACCCTAGCAGACAGCTCAGCCCCACGCAGTTAATTCCTCAYTCCCCTGCACTGGGATCAGGAAGAAAACTGAAAGGGTGAAAGTACAAAACTCATGGGTTCAGGTAAACACAGTTTAATAAGAAAAGCAAAAGTCACACGTGCAAGCAAACCAAAACAAGGACATAATTCACTGCTTCCCTAGGGCAGGCAGGTGTTCAGCCATCTCCAAAAGAGTAGGGCCGCATCAAGCATGCTGSTTACTTGGGAAGACAAATGTCTTCACTCTGAACTTCCCTTCTTTCCTTCTTCTTTTTCTCAGCTTTTATTGCTGAGCATGCCTCCATCTGGTATGGAATATTCGTCAGGGTCAGCTGTCCAGCTGTATACCCTCCCAGCTTCTTGTGCACCCCCAGCCTGCTCACTGGTGAGAAACAGGGACAGCTCCGGCACTGTGTAAGCACTGCTCCGCAATAACTAAAACATCTCTGTGTTACCAGCACTGGTCACAAATCCTAAAYACAGCCCCATACAAGCTACTATGAAGAGAAAAAAACTCTRTCCCAGCCAAACCAATACACTCTTTACCATTATTTCCTGCCTAATACCCATGCCTCAATATCTACAGCTCCATTAGGAATCCACCTTTCAGCCTGTAACATCAAGACCCTGAGGACAGGTATTTCTGAGCGGACTGCCACCCACAAAAAAGGGACAGGAATGAATATAAGCATGACCTGCCCTTTACCAAAGAAAGAAAAACCTTTGTATCACTGATGCAAGATCAATGATATCATTGATCTATGTATCATTGATGTAAGATTTTGAGATCCAGAGTAGACAGACGTGGTATATTTGCAGCCCTAAGTCAGGCACCTGCATTCGCCGGAATGGTTTGAATCTCAGGCTGCAGACATGATCCCAGGCACCACAACCTGAAACAGAGAAAGGACACAAATACATGGAGATACAGGTTCACATGTGACACTGAGACCAAAACAAAACTGAAGCTCACTCCACRCTCTCCTCCACCCTTCTCTGACTACCCTCAGGCTCAGCTTGCACCATCCTCAGACAGGGCCAGGTCTGCCTCAATGCTATCACAGCTCCAGCATCATACTGTTTTACTCTTAACACAAGCCAGCAGTAAAGAAACAAGAGCTCTCCATGAACTCTCATTATCCCATCACTGGGTAATAAAACAGACACAGAAACTCACAGGCATTATTGTATAGAACGTTTCTTTCTCCATAAGGAATCAAGGCTCAAATATGTCTTTAAAATGATAATTAATGCTCATTAATTGAGGACTAAGTTACTAGACTACAAAGCACTAAGTTTCTTTTATGAACAGAACATTCCAGGTGCTGCAGAGAGCACCTTACAACCTTTCACTAACTTAGTATCACAAATATTTATATTATAACAAATCCGACCAAGATACCAGAACACAGATCTCTGTTATCAAGAGAAGCCGATTTAATAACTACAACTAAGCATGCAGAATACTAAGAGACAAAGGCAAATAATTCTATTGAGTTTAGGGTAAGACAGCACATGCTTAAAAGAATTTTTGCTTAAACAAAACCAGCTCAAATATAAATGTTAAAAATGCAAACAACAAAATCATACTTACTGCTTAGGAGGGTTGCTGATCCTGGGGAGATGGAACTGACCCTGTTACTGTAACTGTCTGGCATGTGATCATATTCTTTCCTAGGACCAGCCTCCAGCAAAGCAATCTTCTTATCATGGAAGTGGATGTCATGCCCTAAAATAAGCAAAAGCAAATACATTATTTGTTACAAAGCTCCTGCCAAAAGTCTCATTTCCTATTTCTGTCTCAGTAACATCTGAGTTTTTTTAATAAGACAGAGGAGATGCAACCTTTAATAAAGAAATACATTTACAATACAAGCTTTGACCAGACAGGTAAACCTTTGTATTTTAAAGCTTKATGACTACATTCCTGTTACTGAGATGGACAGCCCTTTTCCACTTAAAGCAAGGRTTATGTGTTTTACTTTCACATAAAGTTTACCTTTTCATACACATTTGTGTCATTTTTTTAATGAAAATTAATTACTATAGTATTAACAAGTAAAATCTGCAACATTTACTCCATGCACAGAACACTTTTTCCAGTGCCTAAACATAAATTCACCTTTTGGAAGAAGAGATCAAAATGAAACTCTATAATATTGCATTAATTATGTTTATGTTTGCTCTGTGCTTACATTCTGAMMGTAGAATAGCACAGGCAGTTTAGACTTTAAACTTCCAGATAAAGAGAACTGAAAGAAAATGAAGACTCAAGTAAAGCATAAAACACTGCAGCTGAGCTGGCCACGTTTGCTGCAGCCAACCACCAGAGATGCAGAAGGTACTGAGGACAGAAACAGTGTCCTTGCAACATCTAGAGCTTATTGCTACAGCAGCCGTAAAGACAGCAGCRTCCTGGGCATATTTTCTAGAATTTGCATTGTAATAACCTCATCTCCTGAGAGGTCCCAGACCTGCTTGTCAGCCTTAGATATCACTGCCGGAGGGGATCCTTGTACTGTTTCAAATCCACTGTGCTCTTGTTAACAATACAAGCAGAATATAAGTTTGCAAGATAAACCCTTATACTTGCAAAACACTTATTGCTCAGAATCTTTGGCTCTTCTGTGCACTATTTTCTTTGGGTTTCTGTCACTATTGCACCCTTCTGAATCCATGTTGCAAATGAAGAAGCAGCGACTACACTCAGGATCCCTAATGACACAAAACAAGTAGAAATCCATTTTAGCTTGGTATTCCAGTGTTTAAAACATACGGTTAGAGAATGAAACTTGAGATCAGATAGCAATGCTTAGAGGATAGAACACCTCACTTAAAAGGAAAGGCTGAGAGAACTGGGTTTGTTCAACCTCAAAAAGAGATGGCTTAGGGGTGAATGAATTGTGGCCTTCCAGTATCTGAAGGGAGCCCACAAAAAAGACAAATAGGGACGTTTTTACRAGATCATGTACTGATGGGACAAGGAGGAATGGATTCAAAGTGAAAGAGAGTAGGTTTAKATTAGATATTAGGAGGAAGTTTTTGCTGTGACAGTGGTGAGACACTAAATTGTAAATGCCCCAACCCTGGAGGTGTTAAAGGATGGGATCAGAGCAACCTGTTCTATGGAAGGTGTCCCTGCACACAGCAGAGGGGCTGGAACTAGAYTGTATTTAGGGTCCCTTCCATTCCATGWTTCTGTGATCAAAAAAGCATTTTCAGCTATGGGTGACATTACCCGTTAGCTAGTTAAGATGAGCACATTTGACAGAAACACTACAGTCTACAGAATTCCAAGAAATGGCTCTATTAACAACTATGTACACGCACAGATGGGGCTAGACTCATCACTGATCAGCTCACCAAACAGCTTTAAGWCAACTTTAGAGCGTTGCCGTACGAGGACCCAGGATTAAGGAGATCCCACAGCAGGATCCTGGACATTGAGATCCTATACACGGTTATCTCACACTGCGGGCGAGCCGGTCACAGCCTTACCCAGCACGGCGGCCATGGCGGTCCCGACCATACCCCCGCCCGACACCACCACATCGTAGAGCGGCGGGGCGGAGGCGGGGGAGCAGAGCGGGGCGCGGGGCCCGGCCCACAGCCGMGCTCCGAGCGGGGCCAGCAGCGCCCGCCCGCGCAGCGCCGCCATCGCCGCGGAACTGACGGCGGCGGAAGTGGCGCCGCGAAACCATGACAACGGCTGCGCGTGCCGCCGGCCTCGTGTGTGATTGGCTGCGTGAGGCCAAAGGGGCGGGCGTGGGCGCTGCTGGCCGCGCTGATTGGTGGAGAGCGGGCAGGGGCGGGGCGGGCTGAGGCGGCGGCTCGCAGGTGAGGGCAGGGGCGCGGTCGCCGCGCTCCCGGGCGGGGGCGGGTTGGAGTCGCACCCCGAAACGAGCACTTCCCGATTTATTTCATTTCTTCCAGGTAACGCGACATCTCCTTAAGCTGTAACACGCCGATTTCTGCGTTTCCCATCGCCGGGCAAGGAGCTGGGAGCATCCTCTCGGGATGGGAGGCCGGCGGTCTCCTTTAGAACCGGGAGAACCGTGCCAGGCAAAGTTATGGGATGACCTCGGGGTGTTCGAAGAAGATGAGGAGCTGGAGGGTTTCAGGAGGGAGGCGGAAGTTCTGCGTGAGAAGCTGAGGGAGGCTCTCAGGTAGGATGATGATGGACGGTAAGGATGGCGGGATGGGGTGCAGCATTCCTGCTGCTTCTGGACAGTGAGGAGGCGGAGGAAAATGCATGTGTATAGTGCCAGAACTGGCCACAAGTGTACTCACAGCAGGGACGATGGGGTCAGTGGGTACCCGCGTAAGCCGCATTCACATAAAACATGAACAGCACAAATCCCCATCCCACTCACCAGCTAATCATGCTTAAAATGTGCCAGCAGATCACATTTCTATCCAGCGTCTAGTCTTCAGAGCTGTGGTCTTTCCAAGGTCGAGCTCTTAGTTGTCTTTCTCTGTGGTTAGTCCAGCTTGACATTCACTGGCATGTCACACATGCACTCTCTTACAAAAAAAAATAGTTTATAAGGACAAAGAGACTGCAGCAATCACCAGCAAGTGTATTGACCAGGARTCTGTTCACACAGGATCTGCACCTTCTGTTTCCCCCCTTTTTTGCCCTTTCCTGTTCTTGGTTCACTCTAATTCACCTCAATCCTTCCTTTTGCCTGCATTTATTCCTTCCCTAAAATCTCCTAAGTTTCACTCACTTTCACAATTACCCTCAGACATCCTATGAGAAGTTTATTATTTTAACGAGACCCAGGATAGTCTCAGGTGGTTTTTTTTCTTATTATCAATAATATGGTCATCTCAGCTACAAAGTTTCCAGCAGAACCTCTCAAGCATCACACTAAAGCAGTTTCTTGTAATGACATTCCCATCAGCATCCCAGGAATGCCAGTATTTGGTAGTTAGTATTTGTACATCCATGTGCATAATTTATTGCCTCYCCAGTGTTTGTCTTTTATGTTGAATAGCTATTAGCAAGATAACCCTAAAGTTAGATCTTCCTGGTTTGCTTGTGGCCTTTCTGGCAATATAGTGCTAGCAGCATAATAAATTGCATGACAAAGCCAAGTAGGCCTAACTTCCATTTTATACATGGAAAACATAAACCAAGCAAACCTCTGTCACAAGGTTTGGTAGCAAAGAAAAATATGGAGCTTGAGAATGACAAACCCTAGGCCTGTCTTTTAACAACCAGCTCAGGCTGCAGTGTCTCTCTCTCTCTTAATCAATAGTGTTTCCCTTCTTTTAAGTCTATTTTTTAATAATTTCAATTATTTCCCCTTCATAATGTCTTTGTCTTAGTCATACATCTGGTAACAAAAGGCAGTCCAGTTCTCTGACCGACCTCACCTCGGACAGTACCTGGGATCAGCAAAAGCCTCACTTGTTTCCTAAATCCCGCTTGAGGCCCAAAAGTGCTTCATCTCCCTGGATTCCTTCCATCACCATCCCTCAGCCTTTCAAAATGACACTGCGGGAAGCTCGCAAAAAGTCCGAGTTGATGAAATCATACATGTTTCTTGAACTAGACAAACAGAGAAACCAAAGGCAAAGCCAGGATGAAGCTGAATGTCAGAAACAATTCCGGGCACAACCCGTACCTGCCCATGTGTTTCTGCCCCTTTATCAGGAAATAATGGAGCAGAATGAGAGTCGCAGGCAAGCAGCAACACAGAAAAGAAAGGAGCTGCTACTTTCAACACAGCGGCCCTTCAGTTTTCTGGAGAAGGAAGAAAAAAAGAAAGAAGCTATCAGACAAAAATTCCTGGCAGCAGCAACCCCAAATGAGAGCTCCAAACAGAAGCAAGCCAGTAAAAAAGTTCCTAAATCTACTTATGACTCACTTCTTGGAGATAAACTGAAAGGTAACATGCCAGGGCTCTTTCTGTAAAAGCACCTTCCTGCCTGTCCCTTGCTGTCTCTATGCTGGGAGGTAAGATCGTGGCCCATAGGGCATTACTTGGAGCATAAGGCCAGTGTCATTGCATCCYCTGGTGTTGTTGAGTCTCCTGTGTGTTACTGGTCATTACATTTTATTTACCCTTGTAGAAGGGTGCCCTAAGTTTAGTAGTCTTTATCAGTGTCAGCAGCAGCAGTTCTGTTCCACTCCCCAGAAAACCCTGGTACACTGAGCTTGTCAGATTTCCATACCCATTTTGCTGCAGATCATGAAATTTGGGATTCCATGTACTGGATTCCATACCTTTTGTTACACTAAAGGAACTGAGATGATTTGTGGCACAAACATGAAGACAGATGGAGTGCCATAGATCTCCAAGGTCCATATAGATCTGGCAATTKTGCTCCTACCCAAGTGATCCATGCTGCACAGAACCTCAAGGAGAGGAGAAAGATATTTCCTGAGCTCAAATCAGGCAATTAGTTTGGTTCTAAGTGACAGTGTAGTAGTCCAGTCTCTCCACCATTCTCTGATGTTTCCAGTTGCCTTCTCACTTGCACTGGCTTAAGTGCTTAAAGAGGGGAAGGAGGTGCCATGACCATTCTAGTCAGAAGGACAGCCAAGGAAATGTTACTGATGTTTGCTTTCGGATGGCTTAAGCCACTGCAGTTGAAAATTTGAAGTAAGCAATTCAGACTTCTCATTTGAATATGGGAACTAAGCCAGTCCTTAATAATTCTCACGGCTTTTCTCATATTTTTCTCTTTTTCTACTGTTTCCCAGTGATTTCTTCTTGAGGATACACCAGTTTTCATCAGAAAACATTCTGTTGAGGTGTATTAACCTAAATAGATTAGAAAGATAAAAGGCAGCAAAGGATAAAACACTGCTCTATTTCTATCTGGTATATGAGAATGGAAGAGAAATGAACATCTCATACTTCAGTCAGTGAAAACCTATAAATAGACTCAAAACCACCTTATTTTGCAAACAGCAGTATTGCYTTTTTTTTCCCCTAAAATAAAAAAAAAACAACCCCCCAGCCAGCTGTGTGCATTTTCACAAATATTTAGTGCTGCACAGGGAAGGACTTCAGTTTGATGCTATAATCTAAAACACATTCTTTCTCTGGAAAGTTTGTCACAAGATGTGATCTATCCATCAAATGTTCCTTACTTAAAAGCTTTTCCAATGTAGACAATTACTGCTGGATATGACATAGAAAAGCCATTATCTGTTACAAGTATACTTGAACAACTCATTTGTACCACACAGTCAACATAATGACTGTAAGTCCCATATGAAAAGTAGAACCTTGACAAATAAGGCTTCTGCAAGACAAAGGACACAAGTTACCTGGTACCCCTAAGAACAGGGGAAGACCTGTTCAGTTATTGCTTCAATAAGTGAAAGAGATATCTAGAAATTAATGCCTGAGTTTTAGTTTTACTGGCATCTTTGAATTATTTTCCTCTGGGAGGCAGAGGAGAGAGGGGCTGAAAATGTGGGGGAGGAGAGCACAGGGTGTTTGGTCTCTCCTGTGTGTGTAGCYGCCATCGTAATGGAAAGTTTAGACTTGGGTGGTATCCGTTTCACAGCTTTTTATGTCATTCATACTCTTCTCATTGCTTTCCTTTTGATCCATTAGAAGCTGAACTCTACAGGGAAATCCGTATTCAAATGAGAGCAAAGGATTTGCTCGAGAGCTCCGTAGCTCCTATAGATACCAGCAACTGTCGGAGGGAGCCTCAGTCCCGAACAGCCACCAGGACTAAACAGGAAAGACTTGGCTTTTTACAGGACAAAAGTTTCAGCTTCAAGCCAAGGATTAATCCAACAATACCAGATTTTGAAGAACTTTACTGGGCATTTCAGAGGAAAGCAGTACGGAGACAAGAAATCAAAGAGCCAACTCGTAGTAAGCCATTCAAGCTGAGAACTTCCAATATCCATGCCAGGCAGAAGCAGGCTAATGAAAAGATCAAGGTGAGACACCTGGGTATTTCTGTGCTACTGCTTTCTCCTGTCAAGATACCAACTTCTTAAGTTTAGAGCATTTAATTATGAATAGTTAATATCCTGCGAYCTCTGCCCTTCTACTGAGAATACTGCAGAATTCTAGGCCAAACCAGAGAACAAAATTCCACACAAAGAGACKAGCTATGATAGCTAAGGCTCAGTCACCCTTTCATAGCTCTGATCATGTCTCCTTCCCCTTGTCCCTCAGCCCATCCACATGCAAATCTCTCCTGATGGAAGAGAGAAGAATGACTGCATTCTCATACACTTTAGTAGACAAAGAACAGAGGAAATTCTGTACTAGCAACTTTCTGTGAACAAATACACTGAATGAAGTTTCATTTTTTTCAGGATTCTCAGAAGCTTTCCAAGGTTTCAGTACAAAAAAGTCACTCTCTGCCTGGACTTTCCTCTCTCTCCTCCAACACTCTTCCTGTGCATATTACAGATGCAACTAGAAAGAGGGAATCAGCTATTAGGTAGGTAGAAAAGTGTGTCTACAAGATGGTACAACAACTACTGCCCAAAAAGGAGGAAAAAACATCAGTGTTTTCCCTCATCACATCAACTATATCAACAATACATTTCCTAAATGTTTCACTGTCTTCTTTCTTTGCTAAGTCTTGCTCTGCCTCCCAGTTGATTTGGAAATTGCACACCTGTGCGGCTGAAATTTTGCTTTTTCTCCTTACAGGACTACAAAAGTGAAATTCCCGGTCAGCACATGGTCTGGCAGTCCACAGTGTGCTCATCAGTAATTTTTTTTTTATATAGACATGCCCAAGATAACAAAAAGGAAGGGGACAAAGAAGGAATTTATTGGCTGGAGAAACAGAAAATGAAATGTCAAGCTATGCAAAAGTCTGTCAACAGCCGGGCAAAAGCACTGGATCCTCATAAAAGTCTGGAGGAAACACAAAAGGAGAAATTGAAACAGAACCGGTCAGTATCCTACTCTGCACAGAAATAACTGTTTGCTCCACTAACTGAGGATTATCAGATAATTCTTTAGAACAAATTTGGTCTAAAAACATTCCTAGCCTAACCATTTTTGGCTGTTGCATCCATTTCAATCCATCATTTGGATTTCTTGACAATTCCACACTACTCCTTCCRTATTTCCTTTAGGTTAACACTTGTAGAAACTAGTTTGTACAAACCAGTCAACTGCAATGTGTAACTTGGTAAAGAACCCATAAGAGACAAGGTTTTTCTAAAAATATGAACACTGCTTCCTTGCTTACAGTCTAGTAGAAGAGCTTTGCTAATAGGTCCAGCACTTGTCAGCGGTAGGGTTTTTTCCCCCAGCATTCAGAATCAAGAGAATTACCAGAGCAATTTAAAGAATGAAACAGTCACTGAGAATTCATCATTCCTGATCGGCTACAGTCAGAGGGAACCTATAGTAGACAGGCAATTTTTCCATTTCAGGCAAAAAATGCAACAGAGAACAAAAGAATACAGAAAGGAGCTGGAAGAAATGCAGCTGCGAGTCAAGAACAGACCATACCTCTTCGAACAGGTCACCAAGGTAACTGGTCAAAGTCCCAGAGTGTTTCTGGGCAATAGGATAAATTGTCTTTCATGTAAGATAGGCATTAAAAATGTAGTCTCAAATTAATTCATGGATAAGGTATAAATGGTTGCATAGTCTCTGGACTGCAAACAAAATAACACATGGAAAAACCACCAAAGTATAATTTTAATTCCTTCCCATCACTTGAAAAAAACGTTCAAACTCATTTCTAGGAGTTTGCCAGTTCATASTATGTACTCCAATCACAGTATATGGTCTGATCAAAATCAAGGCCTCATCACAGAAGAAATTACATAAATACCTATTCTGTACCTGATTACCATGAACTACAGTCTAGAGATGCATAACTTTGTTCTGAAAACCCAGTCCAGTTAAGCACTTTTTCTTTGTACTTCTACTACTACAGAAGAACATGAATGATGGTTATATCACTCTTATCATCTGTAGGCTCTTCAGTCTGCAGCTGCATTCAGCACATCTCATCCATCACACAGTACCAGCTGCAAATCTGTAGTGCACCCGAGGTGCAGATACAATCTGTACTGTATCTTTTTCCCTGGGTTTTCTCTTTCATTTCCTTGTCCTCGCAGGGATTACAGCTGCTTAGAGACATAGTGACAACACATTGACAATATGCTGATTTAARATTTGTCAACACAAAGTATCCACCTAGGTCAGGCTTTCTGTTCTGATAATTGAAGCAGAGAACACAAGTGTGATAAATATTGGTAACCTTTCTGTGTACCAGACAGGTAAGAATTCACCATTATCAATAGTGTTCACTCATGTTGAAACTAGGTTTCTATCCTTCCATATAGAACACACCTTAATCTTTAGGAATTGGCCAGTCCATCTGGAAAACCATATCTCAGACTACATCAATTTGCAAGGTTCATTTGGAGGCAGTAGGGATATAGGACTCAAGATTCTTGGTTTTTAACTGAGCTGATATGAAGCTATTTCACAGGCTTGCTCCATTTATTAACTCCACTATTGTTAGTTTTTACCAATTACAAGCAAACATGCTTCCAGGATTTCCCACAACTCTTTTTGCAGATATTTTTGAGTGTCAGAGTTAGGACTCAGACACAAGTATACTAGTCTGGTAAGGCTGGACTGCGGTAGGAGGAGAACAGAAGAAGGAAGAAAGAAAAAGTAAAAAGAACTGAAGCAGGAAAAGGTGAGCTCTGGCTTTAAGAGATGTCAGACACTGTCCTAGTATTCAGTTCGGTACTGTGCTATATGGATTACAAAAATTTTGGATAGGAAGTTTTGCTGTCCACTTGTCCCCATTAGGAGTGTCAGATGATCACTTTAAAACAAGTTGACTGTTGAAGGGAATCCCCAGTTCTATGTACTTACTGTTTAAGTTTTGATTTCATAGCATGATGCTCGTCAAGRAGCAGAGCGTCGCTACAGACACACCCTACAGCAGGCTGGCCTAAGTGAAGAATTTGTAAAGAAAAAAGGGAAGGGTGCCACTGACATGCTGGAAGAAAAGTCTGATGTTCACAGGTAATAAAAACAATGCAGTTCAGCTCTTTTGTCTGTGACTAAAAATGATTTCTTTGTTCATGAATGCATTCCAGTTTCTGTAATATAGTGTTAAGAAAAATTAAATCATCTTCACTGCACTTATTAAGCACTGTGACTTCAATCTCTGAATTCCCATAACTGCACCCCATTTCATATGCATGGGGCAAACCATTTATGGTATCAGACAAAGACTGTTTCTGCAGGTTGCCTGAGCCTCGGGGTGAACAGAACATCTGTACAGAACAGGAAGCAGTACCTAAGCAGGAACAGAGCGGAAAGGAAGTGGCAACATAAAAGCTCGCAGAAGAATCCATCTATCAGCTCTTTGACTTTTTTAGTTCAAGATTCTCCAAGTTAATCCTCAGGAATTTAATAGCTTAAGCTGACACCTAAGAATTGCTGTGGGGTGAGATGGGAGAATTTAGTAAAGGGAAAAAAACAACCCAGCTGTTTTTCAGAGCATGTCTTGTTCAACCCAGCAAATGCTGCAGCCTCCCTTAGGCTTCACAAGTGTCCCTTGTGTGGGCTGTCTCCCTTTCTTTAATGGGCAACAAAACAAGTTGAAAAGGTGGAAGCACTAGCTTTAAAATTAGATACAAAAGATGGAAGAGATGCATCCTCTAGTGTCAGCTCCCATGGAAGCACACAGGAAAGGGAGAATGCCTCCCAGGGTGCTAAACCTTGTATTAGACACACATTTGGTAGAATGCTTTCAAACAAGGTATTTCTACAAAAACAATTATCAGGACTTGACCTACCTTGGGAGAAGACTCAAAAGGAAGTCTTTCTCTGATGTTAATTCTTCACTCACTCACTACCAGCTTTGCTTCTTCCTCTTATTAGTAAGAAGCAATAGTCTTCCTATATTAAAAAATCTGCTTTGTTTCATGATGTGAAAGTGTTTCAACATCTTACCAATTTAGGTCATTAATTTGGCCCAAAAAACAACCAAAGTTAGGAAGAAGGTTGTAATTAAACAGTGTATCACTTTGAATTGCTGTTATCTGAATTCTACGATTACTGTGATATCAAAGATGGATTTTGGAGAAAGAAAGATTAGGTATTACCTGCCAGCATGTAGCACTCAAATGCCTGKCGCATCCTGAATGGTGTATTTCACACTGTAGTCGTCTCCCTTTACCTGACACTAATAACCATTTCAAAAATAAAAATCCTTACCACTTGGAACGTTTTCTGAGATTTTTGCACTTTGARATTAAAATAGTTTTAAATGGATATGATGTTTCGGTATTGCTCAGTCTCCTTATCAATCATTTCTTCACTTACGTATATAGAAGCTGTGTYTCTTTTTGTCACCTCAATCCTTTTCTCCTTACGCTGTAACAACACAACTTTATCATCAAATCAGAAATATAGTATCTATAAGAGCCAACAAAATAGACAAAGATATAAAACTGAAATAATGACATTTTAAATCATAACGAAGTACTAAATTCAAAATTTGTAGCCCAGGGTTTTCACACTGCTTTGTTTAGGCTGAATGCCCTGTACTGCAGCAGTCCTCGTTCCTGACTCCATCTCCACACCGAGAACAGGGTGAAGCATCTCAGAGGGTGCCAGGAAGGCTGTTATCAGTGTACTGGTTCCTACATAGGTTTAATTGTGTAGGACRTAGAGAGGCTGTTCTTTCTCTGGGTACCCCATGGAAAAGAGCAGTGATGTAACCATATTGTCACCATGCCTTGCCACATTAAAAGAGGAAGGAAAGGAGATTACTTCCATGCTCTAAGTCTGTGGTTTAAAGCCTCTTTGTATGGATATATTTGGAGCAGTGGGACTGGAATTTTAATACATACATTTTAAGGGTATTTACTAAAATAGATTGCCAATTTCCATAATAATAGTTAATGGTGCTGAAGAAAGAAATCTCTAAGTATGTAGAGTGTAAAGGGAAACCCTAGGAAAGGAGGAACAAAAGTTTGACTTGAAATTAATATATTAAGCCATACYCTTTTAACAAATACTAAGGTGACATGCATGAATATAATAACAAATAAATTCAAGTCTTAACATTGGTCCCTAAAACAAAATTGCTGAAATGTGATCAAAGTAAAAGCATCAAACTAAGTAACTGAAACTCACATCTCTCTTGCTAAACAARGTTTTGTTCTGAAAGGAGGATTACATTTCTGTAATCCTAAGAGCTTTGTAACCTCTTAAYATGTCTCAAAAATGGTATGGAAATAAAGAGTTTCAACTATGGTTTTGCATTTTTGCATTTTATGAAAATAGTTTGTTATATTTAGTTACAAGATTTGCAGCCTATTCAGCTAACCTATAAAAATACTGTAGAAAAGAGTCGSGAGTATCTCACGTGAATTGTGGAGATGACAGCCAAACTGCATCAGACTTTGATTCCCAGGTACGTGGYGGAGCTTCTGCAGAAACCTCCAGGTTACAATACCTGCACCAGCAGCTCTACCTTTCCATTCAGCTAAGGACAATCATAAACTCCAGGCATTCTCTTTGCACAGAAGCTATTATAGACCCACAGTACCTTAGCAAGGCTCTGCATTCTCAATAATGCCAGTTCTGAAAAAAGTCTTCAGGTTAAAAAGAAATTCAAAACACCATGTGGTAGACTCATTTAAAGAGCTTGATATACCAAACAAATTTTGGAGGACTGGGAAAAGCAGGAACAGATCACAGCAAATGTAACCAAATGATATCAAGTAGTACATTTATTTCATATAGTAAGTCAACTTTCTGACAGTGAGATGTATTAGAATATAGTCTCTGAAGGTAAAAGGTGGAAGAAAGGCCTGTTGCTCAAAATACTGAATACTTGAACAGTGCCTAGCACAATGAGGTCCTGGTCCTTAGCTGGGGCTCCTAGGTGCTCCAGCAAAACAAACACTTTAGGCTTTAGGAGATGGACTGCATAAGCAGTTCTGAAATGGCGTTCCACAACATGGGYTAAGTGACACCTAAGCAGCAGACTTCACCTTTTAAGCTCTGCAAGAGAGAAACTTGGTCCAGCAGATCTTCTCCAACTCCTGTTTTACGATTCATCCAATATCTACCCACCCCTCTGTGCRCAGTTAAAGCAATGTTCATTCATCCCACTGCAATATGGTGAGCCCCTAGGAGGAATGAGCGATCCCATCTCAGTCACCACATATAAGAGGGCGGAAAAAAGAGCAGCTGGTCTCACCCTCCTCTACGCCAATAATTGACTCAGTGTCTGGCAGGTGTAGAGACTCAACACCAAGGCTGGGCTGAGAGTTCATGGAGATGAGATTCTTACTATGCACTGTCGATTCTTCAAGCAAACTGCTGCCCATCAGTGACTCTGTTATGAAAAGAAAGGGTAAAAGAAAATTCTCATGATGCAATGACACTACAATATAAGATACAATCCCTGTCCTACTTCAAGTCATACTGACTTCTTCCCTAGACACCTACTTTATCCATTCCTACAYTTTGGGCATCCAGTGCTCCAATGGATGGAAAATACTATATTTACTATTTTGAAGGTTCAAAATATGGAATCTATGGTGGAATCTTAGGCAGGATTGGCTTTCTCTTTGAACATTTCACGTTGCATAAAAACCCAGGGTGCATGCAACAAGAATATATAACCAAGGGGAAAAATGCACGTAMAAAACCCCAATGAGATTCATATTAATTTTGAAAACAATAAACATATCTGCCCCTTGACCACAACACAAAAATACACCTTTGTGTTCTCTTCTAGAAAAGGGGAGGTAAGCAATCCATCCTCCAAGAGGAAAATACTTTTATTTCTTACTGGCTTGTGGTCTTTTGAGAACTTCTTTCCTTTTCTTCGACCACTAATATTTTTCCYGCACTTTTTCCCCAGGATGAGTGTGTTCCCTTCTTTACCTGGCTGTTCTCGTTCCCTGCTGCCAGCTGTTCCAATTCGGGAGTGGTGTTTCCTCATATGTACATTTCTGCTACCACTCTGGGAAAATGTCTTCCCACAAATTTGGCACTGATGTGGCTTCACTCCTTGGAGTCAAAGGGGGAAGAAATATCCCACGAATTATCAAATTGGGAGAAAAGACCTCATCAATCAAGAAACTAATAACACAGTTTTGAAATGGCTGTTAACACCACTGGTGCTAATTTATCAGTAAAAACCAAATGAGAAATAGTCCTGTCTCCTGGAGGGCAACAATCTTCTAGAACAGAAGACGTTTAGATTTCAGTACTGACAGYTGTTGGAAAACTCAAGTCTGAAGAGTAACAATGTCATCAAGTCTGACTAATGAGAGGGAACAAGTTATTTGAAATAATTTACTCACTGATAYGAAAATATTTGATGTCCCACACACATAATAAAATGACCTGAGGCAAGGAAGCTATCTCCTGCCATCACACAATGAATTGCAGCATCTGGTTTATATTACTGAGCAGAGACTTGATGATTACTTGTCACTGTGAAAGGATTTCCATTTTACAGAGCAGTTCATCATTTTCACAATACAAGTATGCTGTCCATACTTCTTAGCTCAATGGCATGGAAGCCAAGGAGATAGGACAGAAAAAGCATGGAGAAAGCTACTGCCAATGTTATTACCCCAATAAAATCTCCCATTCCCCAAACATACCATATTCATTGTGTGCTGCTGATATTTAAGACACACCAATCAAAATAGAAGGCAGAAGCTTTGAGATACATTTCCACCAAATCCTTTGTCCACTAAAAAGTATGTAGTAGGAATAAATAAAGGAAAACCCTACCTATGGCAGAAACCCACTAGCAAGAGATTTCAGATTCAAATGGCTGTGATTAACATACAGAGATGTTAGAATCTTTCTTTAAATAAGTAAATAGCAGCTATGAAGAAGATATTCTACTTCATGACATGTTAGAAACTATTTTTAAAAAAATTTAAAATGTAATTTGAATTTAGAAATAGAAACAACCAACAAGATTAAGGTATACAGGCTACAAGCATCATGAAAGGGAAGTCATGAAACACTACGACGAGAAGTTCTATAGAAACCAGGATTTTTCTCAAGGAAATCAAATCAAAGTCCTGAAATAAAGGTCTTCTCTCAGACAGATCACAGAATGTCAGATGAAGACACTTACCTGAGTGGACAACCAAATGTTTCCGAAGGCTGGAGTATTCAGCAAAAGAGCGACCACATCCCTGTGCCTGACACAGAAAGGGTTTTTCCCCTACAAGGGAAAAGTAAGTTCTTAGATTTTGGGATCACAATTTAATCTGCTTGCCCAAGTCCCTGAGAACAGCCTGTCCATTCTCCCTTTTGGCCTTATGTGTATCAAGAGTCCTTCCTAGGCTTCCTAAGCTTCCTAAGRTTTTTACAGCATTCTCTTCACCAGTGGAAACAGTGGCATTATTTTTAATATTCTTAGACCATCATACACTGAAAGCAAAGCAGGGGACCACTGTTTCTTGATAATCTTCTAAGTATATAAATACCAATAGAGTAACATAAAACTACTTGATCTACAATATACCTTCTATATGCAGTTCTCAACAACCAGCTCTCTGTTCCACATGTTCACGGGTCCTACTCCCTTTCTGCCTCTCAGTGCCAAAATCCCATTAACTGCACTTCCCTTCATATCAGATTCTATACTTTATTTCACATCAGGCTAAACTTGCCAAAATCCTGTGAGAGATGTGTCAGTCATTTATATTTATTTGTGAAGGAACTAATTCAAGGCACAAATTGTTCACACAGGCTGAAATTTATATCACAGCTATTTTTGATTTGTTTAAATTATGAAAACTGGAAGGTTACTACACTAACGCAGTGCAATAAAATTAATCTGCTTTGAACACCCCCTTAATAAATCTAGACATAACTTTTGCCTGCAACCCATTAAAGAACTTAATATGCCATGTTTAACACCATGATTCCAAGTCTTTAACTGTACAAGAATAATAGCAAGACGAGATTATGCAAGCTATTTTAACTATTTTATTATACAACATATATGTAGTTCTTTTAGAGTAAACTTGTTTTTAAAGGTGTTTCTACTGTGACATTGCCTTTAGAACTCTTCTCCCTACAGCTAATTTATTAGCTTCTTATCTACAATAGCATTCAACAGCTGTGAGCAAAAAGGATCAACACAGGATGTTCTAATTGGTATTAGCTGAAATATAYTGCAGAGCCTCAAACACTGATTGTACTTTCTGACTTGCTAAAGATCTTTCAAAGTTTGGAAAAACTACCATTGACCAAAGTAATAGTGCACAGTTCTATCTATAAGAAACCCTAGAGCTATTTACACCTACAGTTTCATAACACCTTTGGTCTGATCAGATTCTTAATTGCACATTATCCATTTGCAGCTCARAAAGTTATTATTTACTCCTCCAGAAGCCACTGCTCTGTTGGTTGCAGAATGCTCACTCTATCAGGGAGGATTGTGCATGTATGAGAGGGGCCTATTAACTTTATCTGCACCTTGGCTGGGAGCTTTAAGTGCAAAAGAAAACTGCAAAACATATGGCTGSTGCTACTACACATTCAAAATTTTATTATTGGTATATATGATTTTGAACTACATCCCAACATCTGCCCCCAAACCATGTGTTCTAGCTAGACTGCACATACTTTAAAATAGCAGCGTTTTGCCATGTGTATCTACAAACCACATACCATACGGTCATGTTTAAGTAAGGCAGAAGGYACAAACAGCTGCTGGTGACCCACATAATCTGTCATTTCATTTTACCAGGGAGGCCTTGTTCTCTCACAGTTGTCAAGGTTATTTTGAAATGTTAACTGACTGTAATCCAATGCTACCTTCCGAGGCCATTAGGGAAATCTCTGACAATATTCTGAGAAGCTTGAATTGGGCCATTTGTTTAAGTGTTGTGATAAYCTTGAAGCTTAAAAAACTAAACAAACGAAACCACCAGAATATTCACTATTAACTTTTCTAACTATTAAATTGCTAGTCATTTCAGCAGTAAATTCTGCGCCTTTCTCAAACAACTTTCTAGTACAAAGACACCTAAAGCTGCTACACCAACTTCCAAAAATACTGACAAGGCAGGATCAAATTCTCCAGAGGGGACATCATAAAMAAACCATGTAGAAAATACAGCACTATGAATTTAAGGTTCTCATTTTATTTACTATAAAAAGCTGAGCATGAGTTGAGAGTACACAGGCTCCAGCTTACAGTAACATCCCAAATTAGCATTAGCACAAACAGAGCAGTTTGCATGCCAAAATGCTGTCTTCTAATTAATGCATTTTTCTACTTTTCTTTGCTACTATATTTTTGCCACTCATTCCACTGTGTTCCTTATTTCCTTACATGTCCCAAATGTCCCATTCTACAAGCAGCATAGGTCACACAAGCTAGTCAGTCAGGCAGATGTCAGCACAGCTCCGACTGTGTGTCCACCAGGACTCCATACCGGAGAAATACCTAAGCTATTGAACCTTTCAGGAATTTCAAATAACCTCTTTATAAAACACAATTACAGAAGTCGTATTCACTAACTATTCCCTTGGTAACAATCTAGTTTCATATACCCCTCCCTTCATCACACAAGTGGAAGGGGGAAGGGAATCTTCAGAGTATGAGTCTGAGCAGAGTAGAGAATCACCACACAGAATTTGAAGGGTAAAACATGTGTGAAATCATACAGGATAGTAAAAGAGATTAGCAGTTGATTCATCTGACCTTTAGATTAGTATGAATTGACAGAAAAGGGACATTAATGGAGGGCAGAGGTAAACAACACAGTACCCTCAATAGCTTGAGGACAGAGGAGGAAGTGGTTTATTCCTCAGGAAAGACCCCACCTCAGCAAACCAAAAATAGGTGAGGTCTAAAACACACCAGTGTGAATTCTTAGGTGGTTCTTCAGATTTCCAGCTGTTGTGAACTGTTTGCCACAGCCCAGTTCTGTGCACACAAAGGGTTTTTCACCATTGTGAGTTCTCATGTGCACCTTCAGCCTCTGCAAGACATAGAAACTTTTTCCACAGCCTTCTGCTGGGCAGGTGAAGGAGCGGTCATTTCTGAAAAGCAACAAAAAGCTGTTTCATTACCAGCTACTGCAAGGTATTTTTTTCATGAACACTTGACTTCTTTCTTTTATTAAATACGTGCACCTGTTAAAATACAAAAATTCTACACCAAACATAACAAGGACCAGCAAAAATGATCTAAATCCGATCAAAGTATTTCAGCATAAATGACTTCAAGCAATAAAAAGGCCTAGTATTTATAATAATACCAAGTTTTCACATCTTGACAATGTCAAAACCTAACATTATCTCAAAYACAGAGCAGAGCTTTTCAAAGTCATAACAACAAATAGCTTTATTTTGCTCACCGGTGTGTTTTCAGATGATATTTGAAGTGAGCTGGCCACACAAACGTACGATCACAGCCCTCAACTGTGCACTTCAGCTTCCTTTCCACGCGAGATAAGTGAGGAATGGGGCTTGAGTCTTTTGGCTGCCCATCTCCTGTGCAAAGATGAACATTTTCACCTGGGAAAAAAAAGCCCAACAAAATCTAAAAAATATACAGATTACTATAATGTGTCAAATTCAATAGAAAAAAAACAGCATCATATATGATACAGGAYTGTAAAGCAGGTATGTGTCTGGCTACCAACTGTTTATCACATCCTACATGCTGCTGCCTAGCCCACAACAGGGATCAGACACAGACTTGCAAGGCTTACCAGGCTCATAGACTATTCCCAACAAGCCATCTGGATCAGATCAGCTGCTACCAGATAAGGCTTATCGCAAAAAGAATAGAAATCCAATGCACCAGATATTGTACAAATGGTCTCTATATCAATATCAAACAACCAATTTAAACTAAGAGCTGGCATAACTCTCTTTGAGAACACTTTAGCTAAAATAAGAGATATTGCATTTGCTTGCAATTATTTATTAAAATAATTAAGTTGCAAACCATGGGACTAAATCAAATCATGTATTCTCCAGAAAACTGATCTCCAAACTCAGGGGAGCTAAAAAGAAAGTATAATTTACAGTCTGTATTAAAAACAGGCTCTTAAAAGTGAAATTGAAAGTTAAAAACCAAGCAGCTGCAGTCAGAATGAAGATATTCTTTACATGTACCAGAGAACTAGTAGACTACAAGGAACAGATGGTTCCACTAGAGTTCATTTCCCTGAGAAAAAATGAGAAGCCTGTTTATTCTGAAGAAAAAAAGCATAATTGTCCTGTATAGTTCTATCGCTGATGATTTTAAGATGTCTGAACCGATTCAAAGCAAGACAGAATTAAAGARAGGGAAAAACAACCTGAAACTAAGGGTCTTATATGGAACATTCAACTTTTCAGACACAATCTGGGGATCTCCTACCATTATTGCTTGCTTTGGCATTCTTTGCAAGCTGTGCCCGAGTGGCAGCAATTAAACTGTCGTGGGCCAATTCTTGCACTCGTAGAAACCATGGGGTACTGCTGTCTGTGCTATCATGGGAAAGAAAGTCATTGCCAGAATCTTCTGCTTCATCTTGAACAAACACCAAGTGCTCTGCAGGAGACCCCAGCCCTAGAAAAGAAGACAAGTTTACTCATTACAAGAGTAATGTAACAGAATTAATTTTTTTTGCTTCTCGAGACCAGTGTTCATAGCATGGATGATATAGCTGCCCTGAAAAAGTCTCCACTGACCTTTACATTGCAGAAAGATGCTGATGATTAAATGCTCCTAAAATATCCAATAATGCCCAGCAAATTTAACGCTCTTTCCTCTTTATAAGCAGCAGGGAYAGAGTTGCACTTGTATCTTCTGCTTTCTGCTGAGACATATCCAGMCAGATGACAAACAGAAGTACAATTACCTGCTCTTGTTAGGTTGAGAAGAATGAATGAAGTGCTGTCGCTGGGCTGGAGGTCTTGCAATAAACTAGAAGTTTCTGGAGTTGACAGAAGTTCAGATGGTTTCTGTACATTCTGTGCCCTTGTTTCCTCTCCATCAGGGCCTACATTTACCTGGAGACTTCTCAAGACAGCAGATGAAGAAACATCTTTGGAAGAATTAGTGTGACTTGGAGAAGTGAGATCTCGTTCATCATCTAGCGAGGAAAGTGAAACCAGAGTAAATAAAAGTATAAATACACTATGACTAAAAGATACCAATGAAGTTATTTTTCTAGGAAAAAAAAAAACAGCAGAACTTGAGAGAGAAGGGACAAGGAAACTTCTAACTAGTCAGACTTCACTATTACATGAGAAGATTCTGTCACTCTGCTGAACTTGTTCCTCCATCGCTGAAATGTCTTATCAGCAAGAGACAGTGGGGGCACAGTGGCGAAGACAGCTGCGTGAAGGGCAGGGTCACAAAACCTGCCACACAGATTTTACCTGGCAACATGAGTCTGTTGCATTCTGAGGTCTCAGTAACCGGAAGCAGAGAGAGACAGGTGATGTCTTTTGGTTCAGATTCCACCAGTCCTTGTCCCAGTGGAATAGAAGTATTTTGGACAAACTGAACCAGCAGCTGAAAAAACACACTGAAGATTAGGTCAAGAGCAGCACAAATTATTTAAAAGGTATTAAATCCAGTCAATCCAGTAGCCCCTACTGTCTTGTAGGAGACATTGAATATAATCCCACAAATACATGTAGAGATAAATAAAAGCTTTCCAATTTACATTAATACAAAGAAATAATCGTTTGCATTTTTCATCCCTGAAATACCTATAAAATTCTCTTTTTTTAAAACATAAAATAAGCAGCTCTGGATCATGCAGAGTAAGTCTAGTTAGCCTATATCTCTTTTCAATTAATATTTTACCACTTGATACTTTCTTATGATCTAAGCTTTCAAACAAATGTTTTCCACACTCAGCCTTTGGTACAGGTATTTTTTAAAATCATTGTCTTTAAATACTTAACTGAAAGTTGGCCTTTTCTAAATTAAAAAAAAAAAAAATCAAAGAAAGGGATCAAGATGGATCAGGGCAGAACAAACACAGGAAAATGGTCAGGGAAGGGTAAAAGAAGCCCATTGCATATAAGCAGGAAGTTGGCCACTTTGATTGTCCAGCACAGCCTAACTCTCCCWCTCCATCCTGTCATCTTATTAAACTCCATTCTTAACTACTTCCTGTGTGATCCTGCTCTCGACAGTGGGTCTCTAGTGGCACACGCTAGTTTCTAGTGTGTGTCATATGCTAATGAATTCCAAGCGAGACTAGCTACCAAGCCAAATGAGAACTGTGGGGATATATCCCAAAGAAATCCATGAAGGTTTTCCCTAGACAGCAACCCTTGAACAAAGAATCAGGCACTTTGGGCTGCCCATGTTTATGAGGGTAAAGCTACARGCATTCAACCTGCGTTCATGTCTTTGGTATCAGTCACACTTGTACAGTGTGTGAGTAACAGCATGCACATATTTTCAAACAGGTACTAAACCTCATTAGTGGCTGGATCTAGTATGAGAATTAAAGAGCTGTCCYCATGTTTCTTGATGAGCCCAGGAGGTGAGAGGTTATCCAGTTCAGCAGATTTAGCCATCCTTAACATCAGTCAGCTCTGGCAAAAAAAATACTCCTGGCTAATTCCTAAAAATCTTGAGTTATAAAAAAGGAACCTGACATTTGAAAAGGAAGTCAAAGAAATTTCTTTTTTCACCCCTGAAGGTGTTCTCATATTTTTAACATAGCTCAGAGCAGCAAGGCATGTGCCTTGTTTACTCATTCTGTCCCTTTTACAACATCTCAAGTTTTCGTCCAAGTACGAGGTATAATGCTGGACTCTTCTTTACCTCCAAGGCAGACACAGACTCTTTTTTCTGTTACCAGTGCCACAGCACTCAATCTTAAAGTATACTGATTTACAAAGGAAGTGATGCTAGGAGTTAGAAGATAACACAGTCCAACTATTGCAATGGACTGAACAAGTTCTGTGAATTGCACAGGCTTTTTTAAACATTCTCAAATCTCTCCCCCATATGGATTTAAGCATCAGAGAGATGGAAAGGGGCCAGTTGTAGCACACACAGACACATACTTTACATTTCAGACAAAATGCTGCTCAAAACCCACATGTAGGATCTATTTATTTGCCTTTAAGTTCWGTCAAACTAACTCCTATACTCACATTTTTTGGGGCTTTTTTTAAACACGGAATGAAGAAATATGGAAAATAACACAACAAAAACRCAACCCTCACATTCCTTATCCCTATGAAACAACTTGACAAAGATTCTGCATTTTGCTGATTCTGCTGCTGTCTAGCAAACAATTTTATGTAGCAAACTTCCTCTATCTTTGGCATTTAGAAGGACACTACAAGACAGTTGTTCAAAAGCTAGTACCCTCATTGTGAGACATTTTAGCATGCATTCACACAGAGCCCAGATGCAGCTGTCTGTGCAGTGTGATGGTTCATCAGTGTCAAAAGAAAGAGACTAAAAAAATCATGAAGTGCGCACTGTGTATTAGTGATTAAAACCCAACAGTCACAGATAATTTGATTCTTATTTTATATGTTGTGATTAATACTTAATTTTCAGAAGTACTGGCATCTAACTCAAAATTATTCCTGTGGCAGACACCAGCCTTTTGAGCCTTTCCCACATCAAGATAAAGTCTGTTAAATYAAAGAAACTGCGAAGAAAACTTATTATTTGTGCTCTGATTTTCCTATGTGTATTTCCTTTCACAATAATACTAGAAATACTGATGTTTTCTTGAACAGTTTTACCTCAAAGAATWGCTGTTGTAGGAACCCTGAAGCTTTAACAGCTCTGATTGGTCTCCTCTGGGACCCCTATCCACATACTCTCCCTAGAGGCTTCTTTTAAACTCAGCCTGGGCCACTCATTCATGAACCTCAGATTTTTACTCTATCTGTGTCTCCAGCCTCATCTTCTACTGCTCCTACCTGGCCTCTAGATAGACCCAGGACCTGGTTCATCACTTTGCCTTCTCTAGGGCTGTGGATTCCAACACCTGTCTCTGCCTTCCATGCTCAGGTACTGCAGTATTTTTCCTTAGTCAGTGAGGGCACTGCCTGGGTTGGGATCACCCTTGACTCCCTGCTCACCCTCCCTTAGGAGCAGCCTGTCATCACTGACAATTATGAAGCTACAAATTAAGTCTTGAAGTCATTCAGATGGCAAGGTGCCATTTGAACTAGGCCACAAGCCAGATGGTAGTTTGAAAGGTTAGAATTGTTTCATCTTAGATATAAGATTATCGGAAGGACCTGGTAAGAAGACAAAACTATTTTTATGTTGTCAAAAAAATACACAGGCARTAAGAGACAGTCCCTCCCCCAGGGCCATGCATTCTAATTTAGGATTAAAAAAATAGGAGAAAGAAGTAAAAAGAGTTAGGAATAATTAGCAAGGCAACCAGAAAAAAAGAAGTAGGGACTAAAAACTGTGAGCATTAAGATAGTTCTAAATTACTGGATTGTCTTTCACATTGATGAGCCCTGCTGCTGCTCACTGCACCATGAAACACTTGTTTTATGGACYCTTTTATTTTTATATTAAAAGACCTAAATGAAATTTGCCTCCTACAAGAAGAAACCTTTGCTTTAAACTTTCCACTTCAACATTAAACCACTAGGGAAAAGCAAAATGCAGCAACCACAAACAGATGCTCAGAAGAAAGAGATCCTTTTAATTTGCTTTGTAAAGTAATGACAAGCTGGTTCAGAGAATTATGAGAGGGCAAAAAAAGCAGAAGGAAACAAATGGACATGAGTCATACTCATTATTAAAATCTGGAATTAAAAAAATCCCCAACCCTTCACATAAACTAAAGCAAACCATTCACCAACTCTATATCAAATAACTCAAAGAAAATAAGCTTTCACATTAGTTTTATCTTGACATATTTCCCCYAAACCTTCCTGTTCAAAATCAATAAATACCTTTGTGGACAACTACAACTGGAACATAAGAAAGAAGTCATTACAAACACTGTGTTATGCTTTTTAAAGTTTCTCTTAATTTGGTTTTGCAGCTGAAAGTAAATAGGAAATTATAAGGGCTTCTGGTAATTGGCAGCATAGAAATCTAGGAACAAGACAGATGATAAACCAAATGMACAGATACACAAACACTAACAAACTCTAGCAAACAACAGATAAGAAGTAAAAATACTCAGAACTCCTGGGACACTGACGGATGGGCCAGTACAGGAACAACTTGAGTGCGACCTTGAAAAAATTCAGCYAGAAACTTTGTAAAGAATAGGAACAACGTTATCATGGGTTACCAGAACATCTCATGAACAAAAGCACTTCTTACACTACACAGGGGAAATTCTAGGACTTAATAGGTAAAACATATTAAGATATCTTTAGAAACTGTGAGACTGTGAAAAACTTATGGATGTTTAGGTGAAGGACCCAAAGCAAGGAAAGGGAGGGATGAAAGCAAATAGGAGAGAAGCAACCACTGGGAACGGAAAGGGGATTAGGAATAGTAGGGGTTCACCACATTAGCAGGTTGCTGGTCCACATGACCAATGGGGTCTCTCATTCTCTCTACTGCTTTTTGCTCCTAAATAGGAACATAATTTTCTGAGTACATTCATTTGATTAAATTCACTTTGGAATAGTCTGTGAAATACAGAAAAATCACAGTCTGGAAATCCAAGATCCTGGCCAGAGGCTGAACTATAAAGACCAGGGCTTGGAGATGGATACTGGAAGGACTCAAAATTTGGACAGACACATGACCACAAGCATGCGCATCAGCCAAGGGAGGACACGTGTCGCATGTGAGCAAATTTCAAGCCTCGCTACCTGGTAAGTAAGGACAGGATTAAGCCATTTGTGGTTTTCTTTTCCATGTGAATGCCATTTGTGTTTGAAGGTGCCAGTAAAAGCACCATCCCGCCACACAGCCATGTCTGCGCTGTCTATGTGTGCACTGGCACATTTTTACAGTTCAGACCCAGGAGCACTTCTGTGTGCACCGGCAAACAGTCTGGTGGTCTCATGTCTGAAAGACCAGGGAGGGAGGAATCTCCTAGATGATACAGTTTGACAGATCCCAAAACCAAGTAACATCTGGCATCACAAACAGGCCCCAGATAGACAGTAAATATTCCTGAGATGGTGACCGTAGAATCCCTGCACACAGAGGACTGATCCAGTATGGCCAAAGTGCTAGAATTTGCAACCAAAGTAGATAGGTCATCTTGGGACACCAGAATAGGAATAGTTAGGGATAGTTCTGAATACACAGAATATTAACAGAACACAAAAGGAACAGTAAGAGGTGTGAGGTGGCTTTACTYTATAGCTAAGAGATCCCTTGGAATTTTAAATAAATTATAATATTGCAAAAGGACATCTTCAACTTAAGAGATTCAAATTTTATGGGACAGACGTGAATCATACAGAGAGAATCTATAATCCTTAAAGGACTAAGTTCAGCTGCATCTTGATACAAAGAATTTTATTTTTGCTCTGCCATATCACCTTCTTGAATACATCCTTTAACTACTTCTGCTAAAATGCCACGTAACTCTGAAAACTCTGTAAATAATGCAAACAGTGTATGTATTAAAAATATAAAATACTTATTGGCTGCTGTCACTAAGSAAATAATTGTCATCCCTGCTGGTCAACAAGAAATGGCTAGAYAGGATGATCCCAGGGTCTATCACTGCAAGCAATGCAGAATGCTTGTGCTTCCAAGAGGCTTGGATAATGGCCCTGACATAAGAGGGAAAAAGATGCTCACAACAAACAAACAAAAAACTCTTTAAAGAACTGAGAACCTCTACGAGAGATCCTTTACAAAAATAAATCCAAACAAAACAACCAAACCAGAAACAAATGTTAATATGACCGCCTGGGATGAATCATGTTAAGTCTGTGTCCCATAACAGATGATTCAAAAGCCAGGAAGTGTCAGGCAGCTGCTCTGGTTGAAACAGGGGTGGCTGGGAGGGATAGGGTAAGAAGGTCCTCCAGAATCTCAGATCTATCTGCCCACTAGACAAGCTGGAGCTAGACTAGGCTCCCAGAGCAGGACAGACCATGTCTTTAATCAAAATCATTACTGTTCTAAATTTAACCAGCAAACCACAAGCAAATAAAGAGGTCAAAAGAAAATTTAGTGGAGGGGGAGGAAAAAGGAGGGGCTGGAGCTGAAGGGTGTGCAGGGCAGAAGGCTTGTTACCTAGAAACTGGGATGTCCTCCTCCCATACAGCCTCTGGGGAACTAATTAAATCACAAGTGTCTCTCCTTGTGAGGTGMTGAGGAGGAGACAAATGAGAGGCTAAGATACCTCTTCTCACCTTTTCAATAACAAATTCAATTTACAGAACAGAGATGTAATTCACTTGATTGTGCTAAGAGTTACCCCAAGAGCAGAAAGCACCCTGCACTGGACCAGTGCTGGAGGTGGCTGGAAATACTTGCCCTCRTCATAAACCACTTTGAAGGCTGAAAGCATGCAAAATACAAATCTTAGCAGTTCCCTGAGGAATGACAGCTACATAGCTTTGGGGGCAGGGAGTCCAGAAGAAAAAGCAGACCCATCCCTCCATACACTCACCACTTGCTGTGAAAGGAGGATTCACCTCAAGCATTAMATGGTACCTTGGTGGTTTCTTTAGGGACAAAATCAGCAGCAAAGAAGTCTATGCAAYATAGACAGTGCGTTGACTGTTAGCATCTACACGCACACAAATACAGCTAGATCTTAATTAACACATTTCTCACAAGGCAGGGTGTATRAAAAAACACCTGTGGCTATAAGAACTGTGGTGTCATGGCTCACCAGAGGACATAAAATCATGATCTACTTTCAGAGATACTTGAACTGCTATTTGGGAAAAGGGTAAAAGGAGTAAAAAMTTGTACTAACTTAACATTCAAATTTCATAATCAGATCTAGAAAAAGAGGGTATGTATAGAAGGAAATAAATAAAAATTTTTAGTATAAAATAGCCTCGATCAAGATTGAGGAACATAATTTAGAAGACATGAAAGGATAYAGGACATCCATAGAAAGGATGTCCTCTGCTACAACCCATGTAGCTTCTATGTACCAGGCCTGTTTCTACTGGAGAATAAACACCTAATTCCTATTGTGGGCTTGCTAAGAAGGAAATGCAACTTCATCATGAGGAAATAGGACTATTATGTAAACAAGCCTAATTAACAAACACCTTACTCAAGCCGAGAAAAGGCAAGGCCCAGTTACAGCTCCTATTTGAGGAATGAGGAAACGAGCATTCCAACTGTCCTGGTCCCTGGCTGTCAGAAATAATCTAAGGGAATGCACCCATTCACAAACAGAAGTAACTAAGTCCTCCCACCTTATTGTTCAGAACTCTGAAAAATTTTGATAGAATGTACGAGATATCAAGGACAGGGCACAAGACAGGRGCGCTTTGCAGATCATGTCGAGACTACTCAGGGCTGCTACGAATTTGCAGCTACTTTCTCCAAACAGTGTAATTGGAAGAGCTTTGGCTGCTCTGTTAAGAAACAACTACCTTGTGGGCTGTAATGAATTACCAGCACCTAACCATCATTCTTTTTAGAGTACCAGTTTAAGATACATGCTGTATTGCTTATGGACTGAAAAGGTTTAAAAACAAGATTCAATATAAACTATTCAATTAGACTTGCAAACTTCCCCAAAAGGTACTTCATAGCTGTACTATGTCCTCTGCTCTAGGACTTCAGCTGTCTGCAGTGTTAAAGCYGAGAACCAGAAAAAACAAGGCCACCAAGTGATACAAGCCCCTGCATCTTTAAATTGGGGAATGCATAGATAGCTGGCAAATGGCCATTCAATCTGAAAGATAAGGAAAGAGAGGCAGCAGGTGGTGGTGGTGTTGAATCTAACAAATTGCAGACACTTATATCTACCACACTATAGGTAACAAAACCCAGAACTCCTCAGCAACTAATTGGTGAGCCACTGCTAAAGTGACATCTTGAAAAGGTTCAACCAGAAATTTTAAGTGATAAGAAAACAAAGCTGCTTTGGCTTATCAGAATGGGTCTCATATGACAGACCAAACTTACTATCCAATATGACAAGGACAGCAGGATGTATTAAGCTTATTATCTATGTTTAGAGGGGATTTCAAGGTGGATAAATGAAGAACCAGTGGCAGCAGGGAGAGAAGAGATGCCAATTGTATGTTTACTGGCTGTTAGTACACTGCTGTGCCTGACCACTGCAGTCCCTACTATCTACTTACCCATCATATTCCTAAATATTCTACCCCCAACTGAGTCCACTGMTAGTGAGCTTCTGGTTGACTAAGGTAAGTAGGAGGCTACCACAGTCTGGGAAAAAAGCCCAAAAAGATTCAGTCAGAAACTGGCTAAAAATCTATGGGTCTGGGCAGAAAGACTGCAGGCCTGGTAGAGACATGTGAATGTGAGTATGCATGAGAATTGAGTGATGAGAGTACAGCTACAGGCCGCTAGCAAACCATCACTGTTAGTGCTTTACCCGTGTATGTGATAACATGGATGTGTATGTTCATGCTTTACCTCTATTTATGGCCAGCTGTGCATGCTCACATGTCCATGTAATTCATACCCAGCTCTGCTGCCTGCTGAACCTGGGAACAGTCCAGCAGCCTCACCCTGAGCAACTGGGATCTCCTGGGTGCTGACGCCTACCACATCTGCCAAGTGCTTACTGGAAACACCAGTACTTTGAAAAACCAGACTGGATAATGCTAATAGAAGATCTCAAATTGTCCAAAAGCAAGTTAAGGCAATTTGGTTTGAGGGAAAGAAATAGTCGATTCATTAACTTCTTTTATTCTTGTAACAGAAAGAACATTGTAATAGTAGGAAAGAAAAAGTAATCTGAGAACAGGCAAGAGAATTGGCTGGTACTTCAAAGGAGGTAAAAAAAACTTGCAGGATTTTCTAATTTTTTACCATTCGAATCAAAGCATGGAAGCATTAGAACATGTCACTGAAAACATCTGGAAAATTCATAAGCAGCAATCTGAGTAAACTCACTGAACCCTAAGTGTTGCCCATAAACGTTCCTGGGAACCAAACCCAGTTCATAATTGCTCACCTCAGGTTTGGATTCTAACTCATCCGATAACATTGATTCAAGTGTCCAACTCCTGCAGCTGTCCTCAGCAAGGCACAGATTTATTTGTTTTTAGTTCAGAGAGAAAAACACTCCCTGATTATTTTCATATTTTCCTAAGAGCAAACCAGTATGGTGGTCCTTCTGCAAGAAGCTCTGCTGCGCAAATAATTAATTTAACCTAAAACAACAAAAAAGGAAATATAAAGAAAGAGAAACTGAAAAACAAAAGCAAAGCAAAAAGAAGCGAACAAGTGTTGATGTACCTGTAAAATATATTTTGAGGTAGTGGTAAAACCCATTTATAGAGATTCCTGGATTTCTGTTTTCCCTGAGTCAACAAAATAGCCTTTAAAAATTAATTTCACAGTGTTAGGATGTTATTTAAAACATTTTCTTTGCAATCACTAATTATCAATGGAAAATGGCCTTGTTTGTTCTGGAAACTTATGGGATCAATTGCAAATCACATAAAGCATGCAGGAGATGAAGAGGCTGAACTCTCAGCCTGCAGCACAGTGGAATTATCCAAATTATTGATAAAAGGGAACCATATACACCAGGAAACCTCAGTTTTTCCTGTGAGTCAAGGTACTTCACAGAATCCAAAATGTGGTATCTTGGTAAGCCCAGATAAATAGAAGTTATTTCACAAATACCCATATATTTGTGCTAAAAGGGAACATGAGAACATTTTATCAATTTTTGCCTACCGGGAAAACACTCAGACACCGCTGAGGAAAGAAGAAAGTAAACCATATAGTTCTTTCCCCCTTCCATCACAACTACCAAACTATTGACTACGTTAAAAAATAACGAGAATACTGGATCAGCTAAAAAGAGAACCTAAAAGCCTTYCTCTCACACTCCTGACAGGATCACTCCAGCACGGAGCTTCACTTGCCGTTAAGGGGCAAGACACCACACACAGCGAGCGCACACTCAGCGCACCGCACGCAGCGAGCCAGGGCCCAGCCATMCTCCCGTGTCCACCCGCTGCCCCTGTCAGCCCGCACCCGGCAGGGCGGGCCCCGAGCGACCCACGGGGACAAGAGCCGGAGCGGCCGGGCCCGGCTGCCCGCGCTCCGGCCGGGAGGAGGCGGGCGGGGGGCCGGGGAGGAACGGGGGCAAGGCGGAGCGCTGAGGCCCGGCGGGGCAGGTGCCACCCGCCCCCCCGCGCGGGCCCGGCCGCCGCCGTGAGGGGAGGCCCCGGCGGCAGGGACGGGAGGCTCGGGAGGGCCGGATCGCCCCCCGCGCTCCACAGCTCGCTGGGTTCCCGCACCCCACGGGGGTGGGCGAGTCCCTCAGGAGCAGCCGGGCTGCCCCCCACCACCCGCCTTACCGGCATCTCCACCGCCCGGACGTGACGGGCCCCGGCCGGAAACAGCGCGGGGCTCGGGGCGAGCGCGGGGCGGAGCGACGCTGCCGCTCGTCGCCGTCGGTCTGTATCACCCCCAGAGAGGCTGCAGGAGCRGCTCGCTGCCTGAGCTTTTCCCCGGCTCCCTTGGGATCGTTACCAGGCCTACAGTCTTCAGCTGCAGCCTGATTCCTCTTCAAGTAGCCTTTTTCATGTGGGTTGTTACCGCACAAGTGAAGATTATGCCGGAAACCTACAGTCAGGTTCAATCTGCTGAGCTCCTATTTTCTTCTACATAAATCAACACGGAAGACACGTTATCCCAGTTTGTTATAGCACATGTGGAAACACCGGTTTCCCACTAATACTTTATTTCTGCTTTGCTCTGACTCGCTGCAGCTGGTGATGGAAAACTCCAGAGATCACAGCAGCTCATTAATGACACATACTAAGTTAGTAATTCCATGTCTTTGCAATGTACCTAAAAAAAACCAAGAAAGGACTGAGTAATTTTAAAAACTTGTACTTTGTTTTTAGYTTGTTATCTGTAGGTGACCAGGCAAAGCACCTGAAGAAGTTGGCAGCCTCTGGTCTTGACTTAAGCAGCAGAGCCAATGACCTTCAGGTCTTGTAAACTTTAACTTGGTTACTGCTAGCCCATAGTTTTGGAACCACATGTGATTCCTGACTCCCATGCCAACACAGCTGMTCGTGGTACACTGCTGGTGATGGTCCTCATAGCAATGAGAAACTCACTGATATGAAAGTAACCCAACAGTGGCTATCAAGGCTGACAAAGTAAGATTTTCTGAGGCTCCCTAGGAGCACAGCCTGTTCTGATCCACAGTGGACTGTACAAAAACCTGTGCTCACTTCCTGGTAAAAGGCTGTCATATCCTGCCTTGAACTACTTAAGAATGGTTTCTTTTTTTTTCACAGCCCCTCCAGAATGTGCAGCATGGCTTCACTGCCTTTCAGAAAATTTGAAAAATTTGATTTGCAGCTTAAAGATTCAGTTATCTCCCTCAGCATTAAATGTTAAGTGAGTGGCTTCATGGAGGGCAATGCATTGGAGTCATGCTGACAGCCTATTGCTTCAGTAAAAAGACTATTGACCTGCTRGAGCCACTTGATAACTCCATAGTCCATTAGCAAATTAGATGCATGTCTTTTTCTGAGGTAATTATCTCATCAACTTGCAGGCATGGCATTAATACTAACAAAAGTCTGCACTATGAAATCAATTTTCAGTCAAGCTGAAGCACATTTCTATTGTACAAGGCAAGGAAAACTGTGATTCAACACCCAGAATCAGCAGCCTGGGAGACTGGACTGCCTCGGTGCCATAGGGCCCTGCAGATGGATTGTATCAGGAAGCCTAGAAAGTTTGGCATTCATCATTTTGAATCCCTCAGCCATAGATTGGTGACCTGATGCTTTATACAGATTGATTCATTCAAGTCTACAAAACTCAAAGTAATAGCTCTGGAGACTGAATTTTTTAACATAATACCAAAAAGCTGGAGCTGATTAAATGGCCATGCAGCAGTAATTGTAAAAGACCATTTCATTGTACTGTTGAGAAATATATTCAGTGCAGGTAGCTTGGTTTGCAGCTGCAGTGTGAGCTGCAGATTGGGCTCACTCTCTGGATCTCTGAATCCAAGGCAAGAGGCCATGAACTGCCAACGATTTGACAAGCTCAGGGACCTGAGGCCCAGCCAGGTGATCAGACACTCAAAGACATGGCAGGAGCCAAGGACCCMCAAACTTTCCCATGCTTAGACTGTGACATTGCAYCAAGATTAAATTATTTTAAGGATTGGGATCACTGAGACTCTGCTATAGGAAACCTGGGGTTGAGATTGTAAGGAAGTCTTGTCTGATGTTGAGTGTGGGGTGTGTGGGGAATCAGGCTCACTGGAGTTGCCTGCTGGGAAGGGGTTTCGGTCCCAGCTTAGTGGTGAGTGTGACTACCAGAGAAACACCTGCATGGCCAAACAGGAAAGTTTCTTTAACCCAGCATGCCATGTTTGCTGATCCAGTACAAAGGTAACCAGAAATGTAGAACTGCTAACTTCATAAACCAATTTTTCTTGATGCTACTTTGGTAATCCAAGGGAACTGAATCATAAAGCTTGATTCTATTTTACATTAAGATACTCAGTAATCTCGGAAGTCCTTTGACTCATCATCAGCTCAACAATGTGGAATTGTTGAGTAGATATTAAAATATGGAGACATGTAGGCGCATAAGTTCCTTTCATTTGCATCCTTCTAGGCCAGATGAGCTTGCYTGCTTCAGAACCTGCATCTTGACTGCCTGGGGAATTTTGGTGGAATCTGCAGTGGGAGCAGCACAGCACCTGAGTTGTTTATGCAGGTTCAAATCACTTGTGCAGGTGTTGTGAAGCAAGCACTGGTCCCAGATGAGAGAACTGGCTGGCTGGGAATTTCTTACAGTCTCAGTTTCACAATAACAYCTGCCTCTACAGAATCCTTCTCTCTAATCAAGGAGAAATGGAAGACATATTTCCCCCGTGACCAGATTCAAGCAAAGATAAAGGATACTGTTTTTTCACCCCTGCTGTGAGACAGCAAAAACGGCTAGTCATGGAGTAAAGGGAGAGTGGCGGTTTTGCTTTGGTTGATGAATCTGGTTATAATGTGTGCCTCCTCCGTATATGAAGAGGAATTGATTTCTACTAGCACATCTTTTATTCGTTCATGTGTACATTTCCGAACACTTAAAGCTGTTATAGAAACTATGTCCATYATTCCAAGATACTGGCAATACTCCATTTTATTTCGATACGTATTTTTTTTAATTACAAAAATGTATGCAATTACCATCATTTGTTACAGCCTTTACACCATCAGCATGTAACAGACTTAAATTCTCTCAAAACTCTGTCCGCACAGAAAGTCACCTTTACACACCTATAGCGGACGTAGGCAGGGGTATTATAAAAGCGGTGAGATTTAAGAAACTGAGAGCCTAAGATTTAGAGCATTTTCTCCTGTACCCCCCAGACTCGCACCCAGTTCTGTCACATGTCGGACTCTGCCGCGCTCCACCTTTCCTGCGCAGTCAGCGCGTTTCCCGCGGCAGCAGCAGGAATGCTGCTGAGGTAATTTCGCCGGCTCAAAGGCGTACGTGCGGTCCCATACGGGCCTCCTGGCCGCCGCCAGCAGACACCAGCAGACTCCCTTCCCAAGTTTTCCTAAACACCGGGCGCGCGGGGCAGGCGTACCCGGGGGGTTCCCTCCCGCGCCTGCCCCCCGGCAACGGCGGCGCTCCCACCGTGGAGTCCGCAGGGAATGTGCTSCCGGGCCGCGCCCCGGGCAGGAGTTGCCGCCGCACTGCGTTGGGAGCCGCCGGAGGGGCGGGGAGCGGGGGGGCCGCGCCGCCGGCACGGGGGGGCGGTGCACGGCCAACGTCCCCCGCGGAGCGGWCGCGCCGGCCCCGCCTCCCAGTCCACCGCTGGCACGTTCCATTTTCCCCGCGGGGTGAACCCTCCTCCCTCCGCCGCGGCGGCTCTGTCGCTCCGCAGGAATAGAGTGCGGCGCCGGCAGTGTCTTCCTTCATAGGCGCCCCTCAAGGACAGGTGGCTCGGCACACCTCACCCCGCCGTGCCGGGCAGTGGTAGCGCCCGCACCGCCTCCCGCCTCCCCCCCTCCGGCGGCGGCGCGGGTGGTGCGTCCCGGCAGCAGGCGCGTCCCGGCCGGCGCCCGCCCCCCCGCGCCGTGTCATTGATGTTGTTGTTTGTGTCGCAGGAGCCGCAGGCCAGGCCGGGGCCGCCGCCCGGGGCCGCCGCCGCGGGGCTGGGGCCGGCGCCAGGGATGTCGGTGTGCGGGGAGGCGGTGGGCGCCGGCTCCCTGCCCAGCGAGCTGGTGGTCCACATTTTCTCCTTCCTGGCGGCCCCCGACCGACTGCGGGCCTCGGCCGCCTGCTCGCACTGGCGAGAGTGCCTCTTCTACCCGGCGCTCTGGCCGCGCCTCCGCCTCAGCCTCCGCGTCTCGCCCGCCGAGCGCCCGCGCCTCGAGTTCCTCATGCGCAAGTGCGGCTGGTTCGTCCGTGAGCTCCGCGTACAGTTCGCCGCCGACAACTACCCCACCGGCGGTGGCGGGGCGGCGGCGGCGGGCGAGGGCGCCGCGGTGGCGGGGGACGGGGAGGCGCCGCCGCCGCTGAGCCCGCGCTGGCTTGACCTGCTGAGGACTTACCTGGAGCTGGTGCTGTGCGTCYTGAGCAGCGTCCGCAACAACAGGTACCGTCGGGGAAGCACTCGGAGCCCCCCAAGCCAKGCAGAGCCAGGTCTCGCCGTCCCGCCGGTTTCTGCGGGCGGAAACAACGCCCGAGCCGGCGCCGGCCGGTTCGTGCCGGGGCTGCGCTCAGAGCCGCTCTGTGTCTGTGTCTGTGTGTGTGTGTGAGTTTGAGAGTTGGGCCGAAACGGGGACGCGCTGCTTCAAACTACCAAATTATTATCATATAGTGTAGCTTGATGAGGTGTATAAACGCTCCGATGTCTAGCTGGCGAGCGGCTGATCAATACGCAGAACAGCTGCAGTAATAACAAGTTCTTCGTCTTTTGGATGAAGTGGACAATGCAGCTCAAACGGAGCAAGTGAGAG